CACAGAGCCCAATGCAGGGCTCGATCTCATGACCCTGAGATCATGACCTGAGCCAAAACCAAGAGTGGGACACTTAACCGACTGAGCCACCCAGGCGCCCCGCCATCTATACACCTTCTTTGGTGAACTGTCTGTTCAAATCTTTTGCCTTTTAAAAAATAATAGATTATCTTATTAAGTTGCCAGAATTCTTTCTATATTATAGTTACAAGTCCTTTTCAGATACATGTTTTTTCCTCAAAATATGGTTTTTCGTTTTTCCAGCAGAATGTTTTGAAGAGCAAAAGTTTTTGACTTTGATGTAGTCCAATTTATTGACATTTGTGCCTTTTTAACATATTTAAGATATCTTTGCCAAGCCCAAAGCCATTAAAATATTACCTGTACTCTAGAAATTACATCATTTTAGCTTTTATATTTAGGTCTGTGATCCATTTTCATTAATTTTTTAATATGGTGTGAGGTAAGGATTGAAGTTCATTGGTTTGCATGTGGCTGTCTAGTTGTTGTAGCAACATTTGTTGAAAAGTTTATTCAGATGGAGAAATCATTGAATTGTCTTGGGTCTATTTTGTTCCATTGGTCGATTTCTCTTTATGCCAGTGAAACAGTCTTGATTACTGTAGCTTCAGAATAAGTCTTGAAATCAGGTATTGTGAGTCATCCAACTTTATTCTTCTTTAAAATTATTTTAGCTATTGTCGGTTCTTTGCATTTCCACGTTTTAGATTGAGCTTGTTAATGTCAACCAAAAAGCTTTCTGAGATTTTGATTGTGATCGCAAATATTTTATCTACAGATCAATTTGGGGAGAATTGACATCTGAATAATAGAGTCTTCTGAGCCACAAACACAGTATCTCTAAGTGTATTTTGGTCTTTAATTTCCCTCAGCAATGTTTTGTAGTTTTCAGTGTATGTATTTTGTATGCTGTAGTGTTTTTGTTTTTTTTTTTTAATTTTGCTTATTTATTCATGAGAGATCACATGAACACGTGAGCAGGGGGAAGGAGAAGAGGGAGAGGGAGAAGCAGGCAACCTGCCAAGCAGGGAGCCCAATGTGGGGCTCGATCCCAGGACCCTGAATCATGACCTGAGCCGAAAGCAGATGCCCAGCTGACTGAGCAACCCAGGTGCCCCACGCTATAGTTTTTAAATTACATTCGTCGTATGCTCCTTTTTCTCTTCAGATCAATCTTTTGCCTTTTATTTAAAAAAAAAATTGCATTCCTCCAGTTATGAGTAAGATTGAGCATCTTGACATATATTTAAGGACCATTTTTATTTCCTTTTCTGGGAGTTATTTATATTCTTTATTCTCTTTTATATTGAAATGTTTTTTGTTGTTGTTGATTGTCTGTGATGAGTTGCAAATGCCTTTTCCCCAGTTTGTCTTTGACATTGCAAACATTGGTTTCTGCTAAGTAGAAAAGATTGATTCATATTTGTTGATTTTTCCTTTCTGGTTTCTAGAATATGGGTCATACTTACATCTTCCTTATCCTCCGAAGAATTCCTTACCACAGTTTATTCTGATATTTTATGGTTTCATTTTTACATGTGAATGTTTGATTCACTTTGGATTTATTCTAGTTAACAGGTATAGATTGGTTCAGGTCATTTTCCAGATGGCTATCCATTTGTCACAACACCGTTTGTTCTCTGTATATGAGTCTGGTTTGAGAGTCTCACTTTATTAAATTCCTATATAGATTTAGGACTATTTCTGAACTTCCTCTTTTTTTCTGTTGATCTGTTTATTTATGCACCAGGATCACACCATTTTAACATCTGGTTTAGCTAATGCCCCTTCACTGGCATAGGAGGAATTTCTTAACCTTAAGTCTGTATGGGGTTTTTAGGGGATAGAAAAAGCATATGAATCCAATGAAATTTTATTTATAATATTTATATATATATTTAAATTACGTTCCTCGTGTGCTAAAGTATTAAAAATATATTTTATTATAATATATATATAAAATCTTTTCTGGAGAGAAATCCATTGGTTTCATTAGATTCTCAAGTAGATACATGATTCAAAAAATGTTAAACCATGGATTTAGAGAAATGTTCGAGCTATATGTCCTTAAGGCAGTCCTTCATGATGTTTTTTTTATAATCAAATTTCTTTATGAACTGGATGTAAGTAATTGCTTAGGCACACACAGAATAATATCTGGAAGATGCATGAGAAGTTGATAACATTGATTGTCAGAAGATGGGAACTGGTGGTTAAGAAACAGAGGTGGAAGGGAAACTTCATTATTACACTCTTTCATATCTTGAATTTTGAACCATATGATTGTATTATCTTTTTAAAAAGGTGAATAACATTTAAAAAATTAAGGTGACCAACTGGATGGCTCTTCCGTATTGTTCCAAGAATGAGCTCTGTGGAAAGGGAACAGTTCTTGGTTGGTCATTTCCTACTAGTTGTTTTGTATTACCAGACATAATGTTGGACTTTTTTTTTTAAATTGTAGTGGACATACAATGTGATATTAGTTTCAGGTGAATCACTGCATAGTGAATTGACAGTTCTTTACATTACTCAGTGCTCACCATGATGTGTAGTCACCATACATTATTACAATATTACCGACTGTATTCCCTGTGCTGTACTTTTCATCTCCATGACTTATTTATTTTATAACTGGAAGTTCGTACCTCTTAATCCCCCTCACTTATTTCACCCATCCCCCCACCCCTCTCCCTTCTGGCAACCACGTTTGTTCTCTGTATATACGGGTCTGGTTTTTGTTCATTTGTTTTGTTTTTTAGATTCCACATATAAGTGAAATCATATGGTATTTGTCTCTTACTTCACTTAGCATCCTCTAAGGACCATCCATATTGTGGCAAATGGCAAGATTTCATTATTCTTTATGGCTGAGTTATAGTCCACTGTAAAATGAACTTTTGCAAAAATGAACTTGAAGGTGGTTGTGTAGATTATATGAGATAGTAGATATAAAACCTCTAGTATAAAAGTTAGTTTCTTCTTTTTACAACCTAAGTTTTCCTCTTTACAGGGAGTCTGAAGATACAGTATTGCTGGTCCTCAAAGAAATCTACCAAACCCAGGGCATCTTCCTTGATCAGCCTTTACAGTAAAAATGAATCGTGTGGCTGCTTAATGTAAGTTTTTAAATGTCACGGGTGCAGCATATTTCCTACATATTAACATGTTATGAGGAACAGTGTAGCCTTGAGCTCTTCATAAATGTACTTTTCTGTTGCCTGTCACCAAGATCTAGGTTATTATTTTTAGAGGGACTCTGGTTAAAATTGCTGAAGGAAAAGTGCAATAGCCCATTTAGAGAAAGTTCGTGTGTGTGTGTTTTTGCAAGTGACTTGGTCCAGTAGCACCTGTCATTTTTTAGGATCTGAACTCAGAATCTAAATAGTTCTGATCATCTAAGAGTTACCATTGGCACCAGTAACGATCTTAATGACGAACAGCCCATCCTGAGATTTGAGTTCCTCTGCCTTTTATTTTTTAATTTTTTTAATTTTGAAGATTTTATTTCTTTATTGGAGAGATACAGAGAGAGAGCTAGCGAGCACAAGTCGGGGAGAAGGAGAAGCAGACTCCCCACAGAGCAGGGAGCCCGATGCGGGGCTTGATCCCAGGACCCTGGGATCATGACCGGAGCCGAAGGCAGACGCTTAATGGCTGAGCCACCCAGGCACCCCTCCTCCACCTTTTAGATGTGTAACTAGAAAGTTCTTGCATTAGACTCCGGCATTCTGGCTGGTTGCCTTCCAGTTGTGACTGCATTGTGACCTCTGTTCCACTCTTCCCTAGACGGACACTGAAGGATCCTCCCCCAGAAAATGCACCTGCTTGTTGCTGCCGTTTCCCTCTCCTCAGCTGCATCATTTCCTGCATGTTGCCTGCCACTTATTTACCACCGGGGTCTTTGGAAGATAATCTTGTTATCTCGGAAGTGAGTGAAAAAACAAAGGGAAGACCCTATTACTTTTTACCACTGGCTTTATAGAAGCACTCGCCACTCTTCATAGTGGGGGTTGTTTGCATCTTTAATTCCAGATGATAGGTGCCATCCTTTATTGCTTATTACTTGAGATAGTATAAAGTCTGTTTTGAGTTTATTTTGGCTTGGTAGAAATTTTTCTAGGAAATTATTGCTTTAGAAAATGTTCTAGTTTGGAGCAGGCTCCAGAGATTCAGAAGGCATTTTGGGGTACACTCATCTCTCATTGGTGTTCTCTGTATTTGAAGGCTAAGTGGGTGTGAAAAAGATTGTTGGGCACCTTCCTTTGAGCCAGCTTTTCTTTCCTACAAGTCCTGTGTGAGGGACTGAAATGTAGCTTACAGAGAGTATTGTTTACTCTCTACAGCTGACAGTTGATGGCAAGGAATCACTGATGCTATTCATTGTTTTCCGAGCTGTTCGAGCTGCTTTCAGAGTTTACAGTGGATAGTTTAGTTCACATTAGGTGCATCTTTATAAAGCAAAGATATTATATATCCTAGACCTGTCCTTTCGTATCATGCTCAAATGGGGAGACTCTCAATGAAATCTGACTTAGTTGATAGTAGCTTCTGTTCTTGAGGGCAAAGTTATAAAGGCTGGCAAACCTGAAATCACACAACCTTGACCGGCTGCTTTGGTTATGAATAAAATCTTTCAGTAGTACATTTTTTTTTTTTTAAGATTTTATTTATTTATTTGAGAGAGAGAGAATGAGAGAGAGCACATGAGAGGGGGGAGGGTCAGAGGGAGAAGCAGACTCCCCGCCAAGCAGGGAGCCCGATGCGGGACTCGATCCAGGGACTCCAGGATCATGACCTGAGCCGAAGGCAGTCGCTTAACCAACTGAGCCACCCAGGCGCCCTCAGTAGTACATTTAAGGTGAAATAGAATTTGTGTGAGTCAACCACCATATCCACTTGGGTGAAGGCAGTATTGTGTGTCCTCTTTGAAAACATTTTGTAAACACCATTGCCTGCTTAGGTACCCATAATCCAGAAAGCTTATTTAACAGCCCCATGGCACAGGCCGTGTTGGCTGGGCAGGTGGCTTTGGCTGGGGGACAGGCTTCCTATTCTGAAAGAAAAACCTATGCCTGTAGGAGCGGAGGAACAGCCAGTGCGGAGTCCACGTCAGAACGTGCAAAGTGAGGTGTACCTTGAAGATGGGTGCATACAGATTGATTTTTTCCAGGGCATCTGCTCACCACTGCGCTGTATTTTCTTTCTCATTGGTCAGAGTTTGTCACTCACTTTGCAGTTCTCTTTGTGATAGTCCTTTACCCTCCACTCCGACTCCCATAGGCCTCTCTGTTTATAGAGTGGCAGAGGCAGGCTTTGTTTTTATAAAAAATGATTTGTAAATATATCATGGTATCCAGTGCATTGGCATTTAACATTCACTTAAGCCATCCCTTTGACAGCAGTGGTCTCTCTCCCTTTCCAGAGAGAAAAGGAAAGGGAAGGTTAATCACCGTCACCCTAGAGATGGCAGAGGTAAGGCTGGGGTACAGGACCCATGGCTGGCCTTTACTTGTCCATCTGCTTATAGACTAATGCTAAGCCACTAAGAAGTGTCAGATATATGGAATAGTTTTATATTCTTTACTATATAAACTGAGTTTGAAGTAAGGGTTACTGAGAATTAAGTAGCATTCAATTATATTTTAAAGGGGAAACTTTTGTCAAGTTGTTGTCTTCAAATTTAAATTTATTCTTCATATTAGCAGAATAGATACTATTTAAGAGTAAACCAAAGGACAAGCAAGAATGAGTCCCTGTAACCAAAGATGAACAGCATAACCCTGGACACCTAGATAAACCACTGTTGGTACTAAGAAATGTTTTCTGATGGTGAGGGGCAGGCAACTGTAAAGGAGCTTTATATCTTGTCTCTCCGCCTATGGTATCATGGTTGTATAGTACACAGGATAGTAAGTTTGAGTTAAATTCTTAGTTGTATATTATTTGCACTACTTCAGTTGTATCATGTGCAATCTCTTGACCAAGCCTATTTTTAAACTCTGTAGAGTATCATTTTATACATATTCCCTGTTACAGAATTTGTATTGCTTAGCTCAGCAAGAGATTGTCTGCATGGAAAGATTAATAGCACTGATTAGCTTTCTGATATTTTGCACTTTTTGAAATGTTTGTTTTTTACATGATTCTATTTAAAAGTTTACGAAATACTGAAATAAAACCATATTGACCCAGTTGCCTACTTTTACCTGGTTCGATCCATAATAGAGAAGAATAATACAATAACCATTTTCTTCCCCTTTATGTTATTAAACAAATTAAGAAAATAAAAGTTTGGGGCAAAGAACTATTATTTAAGTTCTTTTCCCTTGACTGGTGTTTTCATTATCATAGGCAGATGTAGTTCAGAATTTAAAGCATGGCAATTACAAAGTCAACATTGAGACTGTTCTTCAATATTTACAGGTAATCAGCCTCCACTACAGCCAGTTAGATCACGTTATGTCAGATGGGGAAGCCAGTGTTTTTCTTTGGAAATGTTCCAGCTCTCAAACGGTACTCTGCGTACCAAAAACACCCATGTTCACCATTTTTGACTGTCACGTTTATTGAAGGAAAAAGATACACTGAAAATATAGAAAGTATGATCGCAAAGAGCAGGGCAGTTGTAGGTCCTATAGCATCAGTTCTGATGATGTCCTGTAATTGTCCCTTATATCCCATTATGAAGAAGAGAGAAAAAGTTCATTCTGTCCTCCAGAGAACATGTGTAATTTTTTCCTGCCTTAGCCAGTTGCAGAGTTGATGCATTTGGGCAGATCTTCAGTCATGCATGGAGGGAAAGCAGCTCATGAACACAGTTCAGGAGTGTGGTTTCAATACTAGCAAGTGATGATTTCCACTTCATTTGTCCTTACCATTTGTAAAAAATTGTTTATTTAGTGATTCAATAAATTATGCCCACAGGATTCAAAATGGACAGCAGTATTTGGCTAGACTCAAATAAGATACATGTATAACGTGGTAAAGAAGCCACAACTGGACATTTTCCTACTTAAGGCTTGATGGAATCGTCACCAGAGAAAGTAAACAGAACCAAAATAATTTAGTTGGTCATGCCTTGGGTTTTAAGATTTTGAGCTATGGAAAATGGAAATTTAACTCTGGGTTCTAAGGGTTCTAGGATATGTAAAGGTTTCTTTGCGAAAGATCCTTCCAAGAATGACATTTAAATTAAATGTAAAATGCTGTAGCTCTTGGGATACCAATCTGGTGGACTACTGGAAGATTTCTTTATCAGAATGTGTGGCACAGAGTTGTGAAAAAGAACCCTGAACCCTGACTCATGACAAATCCATGTGAGCAAAACTGCATAAACATACGGAGACAGAATGAAGTGCTCACCTGTATCTCTTAAGAGTAAAAAGGTCAGACTTTCTTGTCTTGCGCAGTTAAGAGGGGCTGATTCACCTCATCTCCACTGAGGTAGTTCTAGTTTCTAAATACTAAAATGATAAGGGTCACCAGGCTTCTGTGCCATGGGCAGTGCAAGGCTGTCCTGAAACGGTTTATGGCATTCTGCATCCGTCAGAGGAGGATAATACTGCCTGTAGCAGACATAGGCAAATGTCAGGCCAATCATGGCTCCAACCAGTACATCTAAAAGAGAGGAGATAAGGTCTTTTCTTAATCACTGGACTCTCAAATCATGTTAAAACACCACACATTACTGGCATACCGATATTGAGGGTTCGATTCCAGATCACTGCCAATAAAGCGAGTATCTCAATAAAGTAAGTCAAATGAATTTTTCGGTTTCCCAGTGCATATAAAAGTTATGCTAACACTATCCTGTAGTCTCTTAAAGTGTACAATAGCACTAGATCTAAAAAAAAGTATATACCTTAATTTAAAAATACTTTACTGCTAAAAAATGCTAACCATCATCTGAGTTTTCGGCAAGTCATAATCACTGATCACAGATCACTATAACAAATATAATGAAAAGGTTTAAAACACTGCAAGAGTTACCAAAGTATGACGGAGACAGGTGAGCAAATGCTGTTGGAAAAATAGTGCCGACAGACCTGCTTAGCGTAGGGTTGCTAGAACCTTCCACTGGCAAGAGACACAGCTCTCTGTGAAGTGCAGTACAATGGGGGACGCCTCTATAGAGAACTTGGCCCTCCAGGTTACTCTACTTGTTTGGGTGCAAAAAACCTCAATTTCACATTTATCATATAGTTAAAAGGATTATCATCAGGTTCTTTCCTAAACAAGTTAAAATACATCTTTGGGGGCGCCTGGGTGGCTGAGGTCATGATCCCAGGTTCCAGGGACACCCCCCGCATCGGGCTCCTTGCTCAGTGCGGAGCCTGCTTACTCCCTCTGCCTTTGTGCCTCTCCCCCACTCGTGCCCACTCTCTCTCTCTCTCAAAGTTTAAAAAAAACCCACATCTTTAAGTAAATATAAGCCTTTTTCCGAGGATACGCTAGATTGAATTTTTTTTTAATTCAACTAGGCAACATAGAGTACATCATTAGTTTCAGAGGTAGAGTTCACTTATTCATCAGTTGCATATAACGCCCAGTGCTTATCACATCACGTGCCCTCTTTAATGCCCATCACCCAATTACCCCATTCCCCCACCCACCTCCCACTAGAGTGGATTTTTTAAAAATTCAAGATAACAAAGTTTCACTTACTGCTATTAACCCCTTTTTCACCATGTAAAGAGTTTTAGAGAAAGCAAAAAACTGTCCAGGAGTTGCCCTTCTTTGCAAAAAATTAGCTTATTCTTAAAAACAGGGCTCCTAAGGACTTCTGGGCAATACTATCAGCTTTTTTTGAATTACGGGTTTTCCGTGAAGATACTCTGTAATTTGGATGTTTTACTATATCATTCGACTTAAATTTCTTTGGTTTAACTACAATTTTATGTTTTCTTGAACTTTGGTTTCTGAACAAAAATCTCATGAGAACGAGCTTGATTTTTTTTTACAAACTTGATTTTTATTTTAAGACAGTAAGTAAATTGATCTTTGTAAAAAATTTCTTAGAGAAAAAAAATTCTTAGAGAGTTTATTCTGAACTTAGGATGCTTCAAAATAATGGAAAAATTGGGACATTTCTCCTTGGTAATCTCTTTAAAAGGAAACTGCTTTCTCATCTTCCACACAGCTATACATACTCTTGGTTCAGAAACCCAGACTCATTTGTTTATTCATTTAACAGATACAGTCAGCGTCTCCTCTGTGCCAAATGCTAGGGATACAGTGGCAGGTGAAACATGCAGACTTGCATGGCAGGAACACCTTGCTTATTACCTTGCCAGTGATGCTTATAGTCACAGGTGCGGGACAGCGCGATCACAGATGCGAGGAGGAGAGGTGACAGAAAGGCACAGAACCTCCAAGACTTCCCACGGCCTTGTGGTGTGAAGCAATGTAACTTCCCTGCCAGGTAGAAGGAAGCGAAGGCCAGACCAGCAAATGCAACTAGAAGAGGGAAAACCTGTAAGTCTTACGTCTTTTAAAGGAAGCTCCCTCACTCATCTGCAACTAGGTGGCTGGGGGCATGAACATGTTTTATCCGTTTTTGGTACACTTGTGGTGTAGATCATTGACGAGGAGGACACAAAAGGAAAAATGAAGGACTTTACTGTGTGTCCCATAGGTAATAATACTGACCCTTAGGAATAGTGTTTGGAATACTGGCATTAAGACTTTGGGCAGGTCACTTCTTGATGCCTTAGTTTCCTGATGAATAAACAGGAATCATAAAAATAATAGTATCAACCTCTTTAGGCTATTATGGTACCAAAAGAGATAAGAATAAAAAAATGCTTTCCAAAGCACCTGCAATAAAGGTTAGTTAATATTTTTCTAACTAGTACCAGATTGCAGGATCTAGACAAATAATACAAGACTCATAAAATGTTCAAATCTCATGAAGGTAAACTACTTCCTCTGTCCTTGAATATTTACCCTAATACTTGAGGCTCAGGCTTGTGAAATCTTGGTGTTATTAAAGAAGGAGGGGATTCTCTAGTTTTTCGATACAAGAGCAAGAGTAGAGAGATGGCCCCATCCTCATAAGCTTCCTAAGCTAAATTCAGTGACCCCAAAAGGCACAGATGCTGAGTCCCTGTGGTATTCATACAGGAAGAATGTCCACTAGGGAAGCTCTTGCGGCCCTCATTCACCACGTCCTTCTCCCCTGTGCACGTCAAGTCGGACTGGGCTTGCCCATCGGGGAAGCAGCGGTAGAAGAAGTCTGGGCGTGGCCTGAAAAAATAAACATGGTCTCAACACAGATCACTTAACTCCAGAAATTATTTTTTGGTTGTATTAGATACTGTAATCCTGTTCACAGTTGGTCAGATTTAGTGTCGCAGGCAAAATAATGAAACTGGATTAGGATAGTCACCATTAAAAGAAAAACATGATTTCCAAGGTCCACATTTAAAGGGGGGGGGGCAGTCCAACACACGATAACTTTTTAGGGCAAAGAGCAAGCCACCCTGCAGCTTCAGGGGGTGTACCAAAGGACACGGACCCCGCTGTGCTGGTCCGTGGGAACCGCTGTTCAGGGCAGCAAAGAGCCCAAGTGTCACCCGCAGGACAGCCATAGGGGAGGGAGGCCATGTTAGGTGAGAAGAGCAAGGTCAGACTGAGGATAGAGGACAGGGTGCGGTTAACCATCTCCTGCGGACTAGGCCGAGGCAGGCTCCGGGGCGTGGACTCTGGCCACTTACCTGCCCACTATCAGTTTTATTGTGTTGGTAAAGACACCATTCAGAGCCAGGGCAAGGCTGGCAGCTGGAACGCAAAGAAACTTCCTGTTAGTGCTTTCTGCCTAGGAGGACTTGTGCGGTCACGGTGCCATCAAGAGAGCAGCCAGGGTCTTTCTGAGACCGGAACGGGCAGGCTCCAGCCGGAGCGGAGCAGAAAAATCATTCTAGCCTTGAACGTGGTGGAGTACAGAGAGAGCTTCCGTACTAGGCTGGACACTAGGCTGGGGTACAAATCATCCAGCGCATCGTTCACCTCGGAGGTTAACGATGTTCTCAGAGTGCCACTCTTCTCACGGGTGACAACACGGGTCCAGGGGAGATAGGATGCCTTGAGGAATGCACAACTCAGTGGCCTCCACACGCAGAGGTCACACCTCCAGTGGCCGAGATGACAGCACGGAGGAGCTAGAGACCAGCCCAGCCAGAGAGGGCTCGTTCTTACCCAGGCAGGCTTGTTTGCTGTCGGTCCCACCTGCCTTCTTGAGACATCTGGCCAGGAGGATCAGAGACAGTGGGGACAGAAATGCAATGACCTGAACCAGAAGATGGCAGACGTTAAAAAACCCAAACCCAGCCCCGGTAAAACCACGCGGCTAGTGGTTCAAGTAGCGCCTACAGGGAAGAGGGATGGGAGGCGACAGCGGAAGTCACAGGTCAGACCTAACGGGTCCCTGTCAATATGAGCAGCGGCCGTGTCTGCGGGGTAGTTGGGCACAGGGCAGCTCCACCAGCAAACGCCACCGCCATGGGCCGTTACTCTAAGGGCCAGGGTGCCTCAGGCCATCCTAAGGAGCAGAGCTCACGGAACGTGTCTCCGGAGCCCACACTGGCATCTTGCCCCTCTAAATTTGGATTTTAATCGTAAGGAAACAAAATGGCACCTCATCGAAGGGAGCAAGCAGTCCCCCACAAAGATCATGCCGGAGCCGGAAGGCCCACCTGCGCCCTAGCATCAAGCTCAGTACTAAGTATCAAGGGGCGGAAGGCAGGCTGGTTCTCCACGCACAAACATGGGCTTGGTAGGGAAATACTCGGCTTCCACATACGGATTCCGGTACAGCCACATCTCCTCGGGTTGGATCCGCCTCTGGAAGGGAGGAAGGAGCTCCGTTACCCTGGAGGGGAAACACAAATGCGCAGAGCACGTGCGTTAGCTTCCCGGGCCCGGCGGGGGCTGCCCGGCCGCCCGCCTCCTTCGCGTGGACAGCCCGCCCGCGCGCCGCTCCGGCCGGTCGGTGCGAGAAGGCGCCGGCCGCGGGCCGCTTACAGGAAGGCCGCGAACAGGGCGAGCCGCACGCCCAGCTCGGCGCCGAGGGCCGCCGCCGCCGCCGCCTTCCCCATCCTGCCGTCCGCCGCGGACAGACGCTGCGCTGACGTGGCAGCGGCGGGACGCGGGCCCGCCCCCGGGAGGGCTGTCCCCGGCGGCTCGGGGCGCGGGCTGGCGGGCGCCGGGGGAACTGCACCCGACGGGCGGGTTGGCGATCCGGGACGCGGGGAAGCGGGAGGCGCGGCTGCGCGCGGCCCGGCTAGCAAGCAGTGCCATTCCAGGGGCCGCCGACCCCGAGCTGGCGCCCGGGATGAAAGTGACGCACATCTCCCGCTCCCGCCCTTCGCTCCACAGCCTCCTACCACACCGAGCGAGCAGCAGCATTCTCCAAGGGCCTTCCCTCTGGGACACCACCACCAAACCCCACGTCTGTTTGCGGCACGGCAGCATTTCGGAGGACCTCGCTGTGCCGCAGGCCTCAGCGGCCGGGGGCGGGGCGGCGGTGGGGGGCACGTCTCGGGTCCTCCAGCCCGGCACCGGTGCCCTCCCTCCCATCAGGGCCTCTAGCCCAGCAGTTGTGGCCAGAAACTACAGGCAATGAACAAGTCCACAGTTTAATTTGGAACATACAGGACAATTTATTGAAGTCAATCTCAAGCAAAATCTGAACTCAGTGGAATGTCATTAAGAACCTTTCCAAATTAATCCTCACGGAAGCAAAAAACACATTTGAATTCCAAAGTATTTGTAAAATAAAAAAAGGCAACATCTCAGTAAATATAATGTACAAAAATTTATGTTCCTACCAGCACACACAGTAGTAAGAAGCTTAAAATTACAGGCAATCCTAAATACACTATAACTAGTCAACAGTAAGCTATCTATATACAGGTTAACCAAGCTTTACACGTTTCACACTATGCAGTAAAACATAGGCCAATCAACAAAATCCCCAAAATATCATATATCTTGAAGTCTATGTGGCAAACATCAAGTCATTATACAGTAATGCCCTAGTGGAACACCCCCCAGGGAAAATGAACACTAATCCCTTAGTGTCAAGAGCTTCTAGCCAAGTCACAGAAACTCAAAAGAGATTGACTTTAGTGAATATTGATGCTTTGTTATTAAAGACTCAAGTCTCGAGTGATTTAGGCAAAATAACATTTCACAGGATCTACAAAGTTTATTACAGATAAACAAAGTACAGAAATAACCAATCTACAAAGGTCATTATCATAGATAAAGATCACAAGAAAAAGAAAACAATCTGTAGGTATCTGTGTTTGTTGTGCAATATCACAAGTGGTTACAAATGAATTTCTCGTATCAATTCCAATTGTGCACACACCCTTGTATAGAAAAAGGATCTTATTAGCCGGCTGTAACCATCATTTAGCATCTTGGTCATCGGAGGCAATGTGATTTTCTTTTTAACAGAGGGTATGTGACAGCACAAATGAGATAAAAGAGCAACATTAATGACAACAGAGTAAAAAAGTAAATTGTATCCAGTCCACTCCTAACCTGACAAGAACACCTCATACATACCTCGGCCCGGTGATCTGAGGGACACCGTGCCTCGTGCACACGTCGCAGGTCTGTGGCCGGCACCCGAGGGGGCTCGCTTGCCAATTTGCAGATGCGGAAGGTCACATAAGAAAACTAAGGACCGAATAAATGACTTTGGCAACTGTTCATCTTTTCCCTTTTTCTTACGCATAACTGACTTTCACAGGCTACAGAAGGGCAGGCCGCTCCCCGCCCCCCCCCATCTGAACTTGTCACTTAAGCAATGGACTGACGGAGAAAAGAACGGAAATGGTTTTTGAAACACACAGATTACACCCTGCGTTTCAGGAGTGTAATGTAAGTGCAAATTTTTGTTTTTTCCCTACACAGGCATATATATTAAAAGGAAAGAAGAGGTGCATGGGGATAGGGTTGACAAAATGACAAAATAAAGAACACATGTGGGAAATACTCATAAAAAGGCTGCTGGTATTTCATGCAAGAGTCTCTTCCCGAATGTGTACATGAAATCTGAGCTATCTGCTGTGGACACTCTCTCCCATTTGCAGAACTTTGCCTTTAATCCAAGTTGAAGAGGACAAGAGACTAGGTTGTTTTCAAAACAGTATACAAAACAATGCTTTCTACTTCATAAGTTTAAAAGTAACTGTAAAATAAGGGGAATCTGAAGAGTTTCAAGTACTTAAAAAACCTGAATTCAATGAGGCAGAGGTCTCAGCGTTAAAGTGACTACTTCGTACCTGTGGTAAACATCATTCCCCCTCCCTCACCCTGTTCTAACCCCCTTTTCTCCCTGTACCCCGCCCCGGGGAAAAGTTGGTAGATTTCAGTATATACACATTTCCAACTTTTCAATCTTCTTTAATACATGGCAAAACCGTCTAATCAGATCTGTTCCCCAGCTTAGCTGAAAATGGAGGCGGGTTCTACTCTTGGTTTACAGATAACCGGGGACCAACTGTAAGCGGTCCGAGGCCAACGGAAATCGTTCCAAATGATCACTTTGTGTCTGCAGCAACTTGGCCAACTTGGGAAGTCGAGTCTGCGCTGCCAGAGGTACCTCCCCGGTGAGCTTCCCAAGCCCTCAGGGCTCCGCGGCCACCTGTTTTCTTATCCTGTTGGGAGCTGGCAGCGCCCTGACTTCAAGGTGAATGCTGAAGGACCCTGGGCGGGGGGGTGTCCAGAGACCAGGCTCTGTAGGCTGCTCTCTGCCGTCCAGACTGCAGCGCTCGCCCTCGCCCTGGCCCTGGCCCTGACTGGAACCCAAACCGTGCGATGAGGCCGAAAGGAAACTACTTCATGAACCGGGAGAGAAACCTGTCCAACAGCCTGCCCACTCTGAGAGTCCTCTACATGATTATCTCAGAATTCCAAAACATTATTTACAAGCATGTTTCCAAGTATTATGTGGAAATGGCAGAAGGGAGCTGGGAGCGGCCACCCCCCTATTATTATTATTATTTTAGTTTTTACATTTGTTCCTGACTTGAACACACAGAGAGCTCCCAGTTTCAGTGATTCTAAAAGTCGGCCTATTCTATAGCTTAGGCCAGATCATTTTTAAGAATTAAGGTAGAGTAGGAACTTGTTAAAATAAAAGTGAAAATAAACCCCACCTCCCTCCTGACTCTAGCCCTGATTAGCTATTAAAGAAGTGAATCCCTCCGGGCGGGCCGGCCTTCCAGGAATGAGGGGCCGCCAGCCCCCGCCTGCGCCGCGCATGCCCGGAAGGCCGCCCGGGATTTCCTCTGTAGTTGTTACCCATCTGGTTTCTGAAGCTTTATGCCGATTATCAAAAATTTTACATTCGCTTCTTCTTCCAAAGAATTAACATGAGGCTAAAAAAAGAACCCACCATTATCCCATGATGCTTTAAATTATTTCATTTTGGGACAAGAATAAAACCCAACCATTTTTGCTCTGACCATGCAGATTTACAAGCTAACAAATAGCAACCACAGACTAAGAGCGAGCCACACGTCCTCTGACCGTCTCGCTGGTGAAGCGCGGGCAAGCGCAGTGCGTGTGCGCAATGCACGCAGGAAGCACGGCCCTCTCTCCCCCTTCTGCTTCCACAGCCTGCACCGAGCAGGTGGGCGGTGACAGCCCGGAGCTGTGAGGAGAGCGCCCTGGCCCTGGCGGGGCTCAAGTCACTTCCGGACCATTAAAGAGCACTCCTGGACGAAGACTCCAGAGCTATGGTTAGCTATTTTGTTTTCACCCTGATTTCTGCAATGGCAGAACGATCCTATTAGGTACCCCCAACCCCCCAAAAAGATTAAAAAATCTCAGCAGAGCTGTTGTAACACCAACAAAATGTGACACGATGAAGAAGCTGCATAAAAATACTGAAACCTAAGGTGTCTGTAGGTACACAGCACGTACCCGGCTTACCATATAAAAGTCATCAGGTGTTAAACAGCACAAAGTCCAAAACAAAGCAAGGAGGTAAGATTTCATGTGGGATACGGTTTCAGCGAGAGAGTTACATTTTGAATGTTAAAGGAAATCCTTCATGTTAGTAAGTTTAAAAAAAGCAAACATTTATCTCATATATATATACACACACACACATATATATATATAAAATAAAGTTTTAGTAGGATAAAACCTAGATTTTCTTAAATTATTTTTAAAAGGACATCCAGCTATCTAACTGCTCAAGAACAAAGTTTAGTGTCCCAGCGCACCGTGCTGCACGTCACCGGCAGCGATCTGATTGGGTAACATGCACAGCATTTTCCATCTTGCTGTTTCTCCTGGGATCATATCCAATCAAGAGAATTCCTGGAGGCTCAATAAGTTACCTCAGAATTAATTGCTGGAATCAGGCAAATGGCAGTTTAGGAGCTTAAGTAAAGGAATTGTAGTGTGATTTGTTTTATGTTTTTTTACAAGAGAAAATCCAGTTCAATTGCACATTTACATTAAAAAAAAGAGAGAGAGAGAGAGGCACAAAAGAGCTTTTTTTTTTTTTTTTCCAGAGAAGAACTCTAAATTGATAAGAAAAAAGGAACACACATAACACAACGGAAGGAATGTGGCCGAGCATCTACCCTCCCTCCCTTCATAAGGTTCCTAGGTATTTCTTGAGGGAAAATAAATGCCACCAGGTACCAGCAATTGTAAGCAGTCAAAATTCACAGAGAAAGTTAACGTTCATTCAAGCTAGCCCTAGACTTCTACTTAGTACAGTGTGACAACAATGTCTGACATTACTATTTACTTCATACAAGGAATACTGGAATATACATATTCCGAAGCATTAAATGCAAGTGAATTTTGTGGGCACACATCTTGATACACTTGCATCTATGAGATCCAAGCGTCCCAACCATTTTTGCTAACACTGCTTTCTTGGGAGCTTCCCTAAGTGCTTCCTAAAATGAAGTGTGTTTGTGTGGCTCTTACATACCCTGTAGAAGCGCTTCCCCTTCCTCGGTGGGGGTGATTTTAATTAGTAGAGAATACTAAATAGAAATTGTTTACATATAACAGGGGGATACCCCTACCCCTTCCACGCCCCCAAAAGAAGAACTAAACCAAAAAGACCTACTCAGATACAACTCTGATTCGCCTGTGACATTTTCACCAGGAAACTCGGCTGGGCGGGGGTGGGGGGTGGGGGTGGGAATGTTTGATTCGGAGAGGGAAGCAGAGACAGGGAAGGAAATGGCCATAACGCCCTCCAGGTCAGACTAGGGTAGGGGCCCCGTTACACTGCGCAGAGGACGGTGCCTGAATGATCCAACTCCGGCTCTGGGCCTTTCATCTCCCTTTAGCTGCCTCTGTCCACGTGTCAGAGCAACAGGGACAACCATTCTAACTCTGCATTCACATCCACATAAACACGCCTCATCAGAAATGTCCACTGTCAATGGAGAACATTTCAAACTCAGTGAGGGCACCCATTTCTGTTTTTCTCCAAAACCAAAAACCACATTATATACCTTTCTAAGTAAAGGTATCACATCATAAAGCCCAGCTAGGTTCAGACCACAGAGGTAAAATCCGCTGAGGCATCTTGTTTTCAAGAGGCCAGATTCAATACTCCCACGGAGCCCTTCTCTAAGACTATGAAAGTGTTTGGAAGGCAAAGAGAAGTGAGCCTACCTACTGCTCAGCAAAGAGGTATATAAAGATCACCAGAACCTTTTCTAGAGGGCCTGCTCCAACTGCTACTTCAAACACACACGCACACGTACACTGAATAGACTATCTGAACTACACTTCTCCAAAGTTTTAAAAAATGAAAATAAATAAAGGAATCAGGGCTACTTTTGCTTTTTACACCCAAGGAACACATCCTAGACTTTAAATGTATCTCATTAACAAAATTTCTTTTTCTCTTCGTTATTTTAAAAGCGAAGACATCTCTTTTTCCCGCTGTAAGGGCATGGAAGCATGATAAAAGGCAAGAGAAGACCAAGGGACTTTGGCCCGCCACAAAAAAATCCCCAACCCAACAAAACAGAAAAACAGACACGGCCAACTGCTTCTGCCCGCACGCGCTGGCCCTGGTCGGCGCAGCGGCAGCTTTCTCCCACTAACGTGCCATCGAGTCACTTGTTTCTTTTCCTTTTTTTCATCTCAATAACAAAAAGAAAAAAAGGAGAAATCACCACCCATTTATTCTTTCAGTTCTTCTCCGTGATCTTGTGATGCCAGTTTGCATTTGATCTTGCTCCAGGATTCTGGCGACACAGGAGACTCGGGGTCGTGCTCCGAGCAGCAGAGCCGGCCTTCCAGAGCAGAGGGGACCAGCGCGCCCGCCTCATGCTCTCTACAAAATGAGCGTGGGCAGAACTCGCAGAAGGAGACGGCCGCACCGCTGCACTCCTCGCACTGATGCCACGGGCACTCCCACTTTCCTGCGGAGGGGTGGGCACAGGGAAAAGAGCCCCGTTAGTGGCCGTCGTGATTACCCACGAAGAAGCCGGGCTCACGCCATCTGCTCTGACTGGAGACCGAATTCAGCTGACTACGACTCGGCATCTCGGCCACACTCACGTCTCAGTGGACGACTGAGCGTGGGCGTGCGCTCCGTCCCAAACTCAATGCCACGGGGGCCGACGGCTCGCCCACGGCAATAAGGAGCAAGAAACCGATCCTCCTGGCCCGCACCTATCCCATATTTGCAGACAGATTTCTCACTAGCATACTTTCGGTTCAACATTATCCATTCCATGGCTCCACTAAGGGGAGTGAAGTACATTCTAGGTGACACATCGTTGGCAGTCGCAAGTCAGGGAAAGGGTCCTGAAAGGCTCGCTTACCATATGGTGGCTGAGTCAGGTTAAGGCATAAGAGGTGGTATGCTTTGGGACAGTCTTTTTTGTCACACATGACCAGCTCTCCACCATCTCCACATTGAAAACAGTAGTCTTCATGCATCTGCTTTGGTTCTGCTTTGATTTTTCGCCTCTTCTGCTTTAACTTAGCATTTCTGGCCTTTTCTTCGGCTGTTGACGCACACGTCGACTGGCGGGGAGAAGGATGAACACAGCGCGTGAGGCTCTACATAGAAAGGGAGCTCCCATAACCTCAGGCTCATCTGAGTTCCCTTGAACTCTTTTGTTCAATTACCTAAAAACCAGCAGGAGGACTTATCCCATAACAGTACTAAAATAAAAATAAGGCTTCATTTTCTCTGACTTTTGAATACGGTGCTTTGTGTTTTAAATTGCAAGGATCCTGAGATGTAATTCATGTACCACAGCACTCACCATTTAAAGTGGCTCATTCCGTGGTTTTTGGCATAGTGTGAATTTTAAAAAAGTTTTTGAAAAGGATGTTGATAACCAGATTTAATGCAAATGCAAATGCAAACACCTCTTCAGAACCTGACAGATCTTACTGAGAGCTGCTTCACTGGAAAGTCAGAGAGTCTACACTCCGGTTAAGGTGACAGCTGTGGACTAAACCGGGGACCCACTCGCCAGCCCTTTCCTGAGATGGTCACAGACTTCCACAGCCTCACTGCTGACTTGCCGCCGGCCTGGGGCGCTCGCTCCCCGCGCAACTGACCTTGGGCCGCACGCCCAGGAAGCCGCTGCAGTTCTCTGCGCCGCAGTGGCACTCGGTTCTGCCGTTGCCCAGACAGTCCAGGTTGTAATTAAACGTTAACTCCATCCCTAAAGCGAGAGAAAGAATTACTCATCCTCAAGTCTCGGGGAACAGACATGCTGTCACACACACACTCTCATAATGAAAAGAGAGACTTAATTCTGACCTGAAGGCTTTTCCCTCAGCCGTGCTCTGCACTGAAGAGTGACAGGGGAAAAACAACAGAGGGAAACATCCCCACCCACCAAGGATTACAGCAAAAACAGTCTATAAAAGCCGTCATATCCTTCCCATTGAAGTGCTCAAAAACAATGTAAGAGACGAAGAATCTGAAATCTGTGCTCGAGAGAAATGGGCTCTGGCTTAGCTTGCTTTTCTCAAGCTAATTTACAAGAATTTCTGAATGAACAGAGTGGCGGCCACACTATCTCCGGCGACTAACGCCTTAGCGCATGCTCGGAACGGAGTTCACAGTGCGGATTTACTATTTACACCAAAGACCCAGGGATTCGGACTGGGAGGTCCAAGCTTGCTGCTGGCTGGTCCTGAACAGAGTTCCGGGAATGCAGTTTCTCTTTTAGCTACAGCTCTTCTCTTCTCACCCATTTCCCTAAAACCTGGCAGAGAAGAAACTAAGTGTTGCTGGTAAGATGCTGGATGGCTGAGGAGACATGGAAGCAATAACGGCCTTCGGGAGCTTTTCGTGTCTAATTTGAAACAGACTGATCTTTCAACTAAAAAACAAACAAACAAAAACCCCCCCACACAAACCAAGAAACCAGCTGATGCTAACACAGTATGTTCATACTTTAAAGAAGAAAACAAAAGCTTAAACATCTGGTTATATTGGGCAGACAGGAATCATTGGGAGGAGTCATTCAGGAGGGTCGCGGACACACAGGATTCTGTAACATCCTCTTGGACAGAAAGGCTCTTGCTAAACTCCCTTTTGCAGGACATGGATTTTCACTTCTTAGTGGCAGATAACAGTTTCAAATATAATCCTATCTTACTTGAATAAATACTTGAGCATCAAACCTTGAAGGATGTCCTGCCCAGAGAGAGGGGCACGGGGAGCAAGTAGCTTTTTTACCTGCAGGAATATCACAAAGAGCAAAAAGTCCAACTCGAACATCTCCATTCACTGTCCACTTTTGTGTTTCACAGTTTGGATTACAACTGTGGTTCATAAAGCGAGAATAATTTCCTTTGGGGCCAGCATCAATTATACGGTCCTTCAGAAAGAAAAGAAATGAAAGGTACCTCTGACATAAAACGAAGTACAAGCCTCTCTCAGAAACCTCCAACTCGGTCAAGAGCCACAGGAAGCAGCGTTTTGCTACCAGCCGAAGTCTAGCAGCTGACAACTCCCACAACACATGCTCTCCGGGCTGGTGACCAAGTTCTCTAGCTGATGAGTTTCAAGTCAAAGCAATTAAGATAAAGTGGAATTTATCTTAAAGTTGTTTAAACTTTGTTTCTAGACACAGACCATAGTAAAATGCACTTAGAAGATGACCCGGCCACAGGGGTGCCAGAGCGCAGAGCTCAGCCAGCCGCTTGGTGTGGGAGCCATGAGACTTGCTGTCAGCCCTCCTTTCCTGCTCTGAACAAGCAGCGAAACCAGTCTGGGGGTAAATGGACAAGAGAGCAGGCCATAAAGAGGGACGGAGGAAATATGGAAGCCTTTCCTCTGAATGAAGATTTGGACGTCTGATCGACGGAAGGGCTATCGTGTGGGACATACTCTTCAGTGGTTACCTGTTCCTTCTATTTTACTTACACTGACGTTCAGAACACAGTAAAAAGCTCAACATTCTGAATTCGAACTCTGATCATCCGGATGAGCTCTGGAGGACGGAGCCTCCCATGTGTCATCAAGATGGCTGGAGGGGCCCCGACAGTGAGGAGCGGACTTAAAGGGCTACTCAGGCATCAGAAATAAATGGCATTTTAGGTTTATGAAATTTCTGTTCATGGAAGTTGTAAAACTGTCAAACAATGACATATCAGTTAAAATAAACTTCTTGTAAGTGATTTCTAGCTCTTACTTTTAATGATATTCTAACTCAGTTTCAGGGAGAGCCTGGAACACAGGAAACATGGGTACTAGTCTTAGCCCTTCACTCGACTGTGACAAGATATCCAACAGATCGCTTGTCAGGGCTGGACCTCAGTTTCTCATCCTCTGCAAATCAGAGGACTGCTGAAGAAATTGCACAAGATAACGGATGTCCCGAACGTGTGACAAATGGGACTTATGAGCATACGGGTTAATCTAGCAGCTTTATGATCATTTCGCTTATGATGGCATCCATTTGTCCTACCTCAGACATGAAGTTTCAGTACACAGAACAATTTAGAGTTAGAATTTTTGCTAAATCAGAACTTTAATGGGGCTTTAGAACTTAGCATGACAGAGCTGATGGTCTCGGTCAGTGATGGAGAAACTGAGGGCCAGGTCCTTCAGTGACTAAGAAGAGCTGGGACAAAAAGCCCCATATGTCCGCCCTGGTCCTGGTCATCTGTCCACTCACATGCCATGTGCAAGGCTTCAATAATCAGCCTTTGTGTAGCCTGCTATAATTAGCACATTATGGGAGCTAGCATACTGGCTACTGTAAAGCGTTCATTCTCCTGAAAAAAAACAATCAAATTAGAGGAAACGGAGTTCAATCTAAGACCATGAAACAAAGACCCAAAATCCTTTTTTCTTACAAAAAAAAAGCAATTTTACCTTGGTAACAGTTAACATATAAAAATTAGTTACACTGTTCTCGTGGGCTCTCTTGATTCGCAATCTGCATTCTTCTTCATCAATTAATTCGCCAACATATTCATTTACAAATTCGCCCTGCAGAGAAGCATGCACTATGTAAATGTAAGACCAGTGTACTCTCTTTGAGAGCATTCTTTAACACCACATGTATAATCCAAGAGAATTAACCAAAAAGAATTCTGGAAATCTAACGCTAGAAACAACAGTAGTTGTCATTCCCTGGCATGCAGGGGGCACTGATTTTCTCGTAGCCGCGTCTCAAAAGGTGATAACCCGTCTTTCCTTGCTGACAATATGATTTATGACACTATGTCCAAGGGACATAATGATGGGAGCCTGAGATAAGGCTAACTCAAGTCTTTGAGGCTGTATTACAACAGACTTTTACTAAGTGTGCAGAGTTAGGGTTAATGCCCGTTAAAGATCTGAATCGGAAACAAATGAATTCTTTTTTTAAAAAAACTTTTTATTTTGGAGTAATTCTAGATATTCACAGGGAGTCGCAAAAATAGCGCAGAGAGGATCCGTGCGCCCATCAGCTGGTATTCCCCGCCCGCAACATCTTACAGAGCTACAGGACTGTATTAAAACTAGAGAGCTGACCTTGGTACAATCTACAAATCTTATTCACACTGCACCAACTTTACATGCACTGCGTGTCTGTGTGTGTGTGTGTTAGTCCTATGGAATTTGGTCAGGCGTAGAATCATGTCACCATCACCACAACCGAGATACAGAACCGTTCCATCACCACACAGACCACTTGTACAGTCCTTTCTAATTACACTGTCCTCCTTCCCTCCTCCACCCCATCCCATCCTTAATCTGTTCTCCATCGCTGTCATTTGGAGGATGCTCTATAAATGAAATCATACAGTATGTAATCTTTTGAGGTTGGCAATTAAAAAACCCCTCAGTCTTAATTCTCTTGAGACCTGTCCCATTTGTTATGTCAGTAGCTCAGTCTGTTTTCTCCCACTGAGTACTCTTTCACACTATGGACGTACTGCGGTTTAACGGTTCACTCTCCTGAGGAATGTTTGAATTATTTTCATATTTTGGCTATTACAAATAAAGCTGTTGTGAACATTCTGGCAAAAGTTTTTGTGCAGACATAGGTTTTCATTTCTCTGGGAGAAGTGGCCAGGAGTGCAGCTGGTTGGGTCAAATGGTGAGTTTGTATTTAATTTTTTAAGAAACTATTTTCCGGAGTGTATGCACCATTTCACATTCCCATCATACTTTCCCACTGTAGGAGAGACCCAGTTTCTCCATATCCTTTCCAGCATCTGGTACTGCCGACTACTTTTCGTTTTGCTATTCTCACAGGTGTGCAGGGATTAGCTTCTTTTATTACTTTTTAAAGATTTTACTTATTTGAGAGAGAGAGAGCACAAGCGGGGGGAGGGGCAGAGGGAGAGGAAGAAGCAGGCTCCCCGCTGAGCAGGGAGGCCGACACAGGGCTCAATCCCAGGACCCCCGGATCAGGACCTGAGCAGAAACAAAGAGACAGACACTTAACTGATTATGCCACCCAGGCGCCCCATGATTAGCTTCTTTTAAAATAAGGTAAATACTATACATTCAACATCTTGTGTTTATAAATTCATAGTCATTAACCCTTTCACCTCGAAAGCATGGCTGATTCAATCCAGGACAAGAGCATTACCTACAGAACTTTTCGGTCTCAAGAAAAAGAAATGTCTTGGGAAACAAAAAATGTATTTGCTTATTGTCGCACCAGGCTTGTTCTTCTTCCCACCCCCGACCTCCTCCCCCATACAAATTTTCACTAGCCCTTCTCACGGTTCTTAGAATCACAGAACTGATAGTAAATATCAGTAATCTAAAGAGAAGTACCATATTTTCTGATTTTGGCAAATCATTAAGAACATAAGCCAACGTTCTTACAAATATTTAATCTTTCTCTATTGATAAAAACAAAAGATTGTCAGTTCTGTAACATAGAGAAAAAAGTTAATGGGTCAAATTGGAAGGAACCAACCTAATGACCCACGCATGTCTCTTCCCTTGGTGGTCTGCTGTTAGTGGGGTCAGTGAGGCTCTGAGTCAGCCTCAAGGAGCTACATACTTGTTTCCACTGGGGAGTGGTCACCCCAAAAGTTGACCTCTGGCTTTTTTCTCCCTCCCATTTTCACTGACTGTTAACCTATGACAAAGAATTAGGTTAGAAAAAGAAATGTACAAATACAAAAAAAGAAGAAAAAGAAATATACTACACTGATAACTGTAACACTATAACAGAACAGTTTATTTTCTCTACCTTTCCCTTCCAGTTCTTTCTCGCAAAGGACGGAGGAGGGTCTGCACATTTGTGTGCCACGCTCAGTCACCTTACCGGGCTTTCCCTCCATCCAGCTGGGGCTGTGTCACAGCTGATGAACAATTCGCACCATCACGTGGGACCACCGCCCTCACAGGTCGGTCCTCGCCACCCCGTGTTACTAATTTAATGGCAGGTTTTCTTTAACTGAAACCCATAGAGCAGAACTTCAACCAAGTCGGCTATACATCATCTTTTCCACGTATTAGGATTCAAGGTAAGATTTCATTTAAAGAAATGGTTCTGTGGCTGTCAAAGCTTCAGTATCATGTATTATGGTTTTATGAAAATGAGTGAATACAGGAAAGTTAAACGGCTGATATCAAACAGGAAGAGTGCAAGTCTTAAAATTTGATACCACTGTAAATAAATATTCCTAGCTATTTTGTAAGAGAAATATTTCAGATGTCCCAAGGGACAAACCTTAGCTTCAAAGAGTTGCTTACTGGGGCACCTGGGTGGCTCAGTCGGTTAAGCATCTGCCTTCGGCTCAGGTCATGATCTCAGGGTCCTGGGAATTGAGCACCAGCAGGGAGCCTGCTTCTCCCTCTCCCATTGCCCCTCCCCCCTATGTGTGCACGTGCTCTCTCTCTCTCCCCCCTCAAATAAATAAATAAAATCTTAAAAAAGAAAAAACCAAAAAACGAAAGAGTTGCTTACTGGACTTAAAACCATTAACTGTGGGGCACCTGGCTGGCTCAGTTGGTAGAGCATGGGACTTTTGATCTTGAGGTTGTTGAGTTCAAGCCCCACATTGAGTGAAGAGATTACTTAAAAAAAATAATAATGGGGGGCACCTGGGTGGCTCAGTCGTTAAGCGTCTGCCTTCGGCTCAGGTCATGATTCCAGGTCCTGGGATCGAGCCCCGCATCGGGCTCCCTGCTCCGCGGGAAGCCTGCTTCTCCCTCTCCCACTCCCCCTGCTTGTGTTTCTGCTCTCGCTATCTCTCTCTCTGTCGAATAAATAAATAAAATCTTTAAAAAAAAAAATAATAATAAAATCTTAAAAAAAGACAAACCCAAAAGACACCCATTAACTGTGAATTCAATTGTGAACAAAAATAACCAAATAAAGAGCTTTAAAAATGCTAGAAATCTGTCCTTAAAGACTATGGCAAAAAGGTAGGGTGTAATTCAGCATTTAATATATATTTATTTAATTTCTGAGAAAGAAATCATCTTGTAACAGGAAGTCCCTTTTTTGGCTCTGGCACACATTTTCAGGAATCTGTTATGTGTGAAAAGAAGAGGACTGGCTGTGTACAATCAGTTTCATCTTTGGCTTCTGTCCCCTCAATGCACCAAAAGTCTTTTCCATGTTGCTACTCAGTCTTTTATGATTTTGCTTTTCAGGAATTTATACTTCCAGCTATTTTGTAAAAGACCAACGGTCTTACATTAGCAATCCCTCAAGAGCTAACAGGCAGAATAATCCTGGCTATATTTTCTCTTGATTATATTAATTTAATAAATTAGAATACATTTTAAAATAAATGCAATTACTGGATAAATTTCAGGATAACCCCTAAACCTCCCCTGAAGTCACAGGCAAAAATTTGTATTATGATATGCATGGCATTAAAGTAACATCAAAAATTTTGCATTCTAGGGGCACCTAGCTGGCTCAGTTGGAGGAGTGTGCTCCTCTTGATCTCAGGGTCCTGAGTTCGAGCCCCATGTTGATGTAGAGATTAAAAAAAATAAACTTAAAAAATTTTTTTGCATTCTATAATGACTTTTTTTTGTTTTACTTTTTTAAGTAGGCTCCACGCTGAACTCAGGACCCTGGGATCAAGACCTGAGCTGAGCCAAGAGTCAGACACTTAACCAACTGAGCCACCCAGGCGCCCCACTTACAATGACATTTAAATGCTGAGGGCCTTTGGCCAAGAGACCCAATGCATGTATCTAATCCATCAGCGAATCCTGTTGGCTCTGCCTTCAAAATGTCAGCAATCCACCCACTTCTCTCCTGTTCTGCGACAACCCTAGCGGTCCACACCACCATCATCTCTCTCCTGGATGATAATGATCTCCTTTTTGCTACTCCTTCAGCCTGTGACCATAAATACCCCAGACTACAGCCAGAGTTTTCTTCTGAACCCCAAGGGTGGCACACAGGTACTTAAGGTGGCCCCCAAGATGCCTGTCCCCTAAGGCTTATACCATGGTGTGATCCTCTGTCCTTGAGTGAGCGGGATCTGTGACATAAGTCTAACCAATAGACAATGGTGAAGGTGACAGGATGTATGTTATTATATGAGTTTGTTACATCAAGACTTTAGCATCCATCTTGCTGGAGTGGAGTGTCTCTCCCCCTTGTTGGCTGTGAGGGAGCAAACAGCCATGTTGGGGAACCCTATTTGGCAAGGAATCGGGGGCAGCCTCTAGAAGCTAATAGCAGCAAAACAACGAGAACAACAACAACCCGAGACAAAAAAACAGCTGAAGCTCTCAGACCTACAGCTTCAAAGAGCAGAATTCTGCCAATAGCCATGCAAGCAGGAAAATGGATCCTTCTCCAGCTGAGGCACAATAATGAGAATCCAGTCCTGGGCAGCATCTTGAATGAAACCTTGTGAGACCCTAAGTAGAGGACCCAGCCAAGCACTGCCTAACTCCTGAGCCCTAGAAACTGTGAGAAAATAAAATGTGTGTTACATTATAAGTTCCCAAGTTTGCAATATTATTGTTATGCAGCAATAGAGAATGAGCACATCAGCTCAGATCAAGTCACTTCCCACTAAAATCTTCCAGAAGCCTCCCTCCTGTGGCCTCTAAGGCACATAAGATGTAGCCCCAGGCCACCCTCCCTCACATCTCCTACCTACCAACCGCCCCTCTCCTCCTCCTTCTCCAGGTGCACTGGCTCTCCTGCTGTTTCTGGAGCATGCTAAGGCCTCTGTCCTTGCTTTTTCTTCAGTTTGAAATGCTCTTCTCCCTTATGTGCCTGCAAGGCTTTCTCCCTCATGTTCATGTCAAACGTCACCTCCTCAACCCTCCTTAACCAAGCAGTTTGAAATAACCATCCCTGTCAGCAGCCATCCCCTTTGACTGCGTTATTTTTCTTTGCAGCATTTTAGTGGTACTCAACATTATATATCTATTTATTACCTGTCTCTAGCAGACCTACAAAGGTGTCTTGTTCACTACTGTTTTTCCAAATGCCCAGAGGAGTACCTGGCACACAGAAGTAGCTTCACAAACACGTGCTTAATGAGTGAGTTTCACCTCAAGCAATCTAACCTATAGAAATCGGTGCCTAAAGGGGCACCTGGGTGGCTCAGTCGGTTAAGCATCTGCCTTCGGCTCAGGTCATGATCTTGGGGTCCTGGGATTGGGCTCTCTGCTCATTGGGGAGTCCGCTTCTCCCTCTCCCTCTGCTTTTCCCTCTTTCCCTGCCCCTCCCCCCACTCATACTTGCTCTCTCTCTCTCAAATAAGTAAATAAAATCTTTAAAAAAAACCTGGGTGCATGAAGATAGATGATCAAGAATGTTCATTATAGAATGAAATATATATATAAATTTATTAGAAAATAGGTGAAATAAGTTATGGTACATTTTACTATGGAATACAATGGGACTGTTGCAAAGAATGAGGAGAAATCTGTATGTATTGTCATTAAGGTGTATTTATGATATATGAAGTGGGATAAAATAATATGTATCATATTTATGTTTTAAAAAACCCTGTAAGTATAGAATATCGGAATATGTATTTGTATATGTTTACATTTATAACTGTGTAGAAAAAGTTATAAAAGGCTACATGATAGCCTCTTAACAATGATCATCTCTGGTGAGGAGATGAAAGGGATGAAGGAATTTCATTCTTTATTATCTTTTTTGTGTTGTTTGATTCTCTTTCCTACATTATATGGTGCTTTTTAATTACAGATGTGATTTTTTTTTTTTTACAGGTACAAAAATGTCAAGAGTAACCTAAAATGCCCACCAGACCTACCTTCTCTCAGTGGAAGCCTCTCTGTGTTCTCTCTCCATGGGGACTAGGCAAGCAGGGGGTGGTGGTGGGGGGAGGGTTGGGGGAGGTGGGCTGGGGCCTGGTTTTAAAACGCACACTGTTCAGGCCTGTCCCAGGTATTTCAGTAAGACCCTCTGGTAAGGATCCCAGGAGATCCCCAGGATCTCTGAAGTTTGACAGCCACTGTTTGAAAGTAGGATTTGCTGGGGATTTTCATTTTTGAGTTATTTGCATTTAAAAATTTTTCTGCAAAGAGACAGCTTTGAAAACTGCCTCAAAGTATAAGAATGAAGATAATTTGTAAGTGTCAAAGACCTCAACTTCTGCCAATTGCTTTTGCATATATAATCTGAGACTGGTAGAAACCCTTTCAAATACGTAGGGCAGGGATTACCATGTCCGCTGGAGAGCAGGGGAAACTGAGGCTCAGGGAGTGAGAGACTTGGCCCTGGCCTCATGGCCATGGAACAGTGATGTGGGCACGAAGTCCTGGGTCTGCTAGTTTCCATCCCAGCACGTTCTGACCTTTGCACTCTTTTGACTCTGCGAAGCCTTTTATAGCTCTTTTGCTTAACAAGTAAAAAATATTTCAAAGAGAAAATGACCGATGTCCCTTCTCCTTTTTATGCCTAATCACAGGACACCCAAAGTTTATGTATACTTTATTACTGCCTCTTCCTACCGCTCCCGCTTTGCTCGAGAAGTGCCCAAGTTTCACCACGGTAAGTTCCAAAATTTTGCCATAAATCCCCATGCATTTCATCCCTAAGAGAAGATGAAGCATCTTCTAAGAGGCACAGGCCCTGGTCTGTCCCCCCGGTGCCCCCGGCCCCCGCTACCTTCTTAATGCTCCTTTTGGTCCTGAGGCCCCAGCCCCTCCGCTCGGTCTTGATGATCTCGGCATCAGGGTAGAGCCTCTTGGTGAAGCACTGGTTCTGGCAGCGCTCGCCGGCCGGGCACACCTGCGGGTGGCACTCGTACTGCAGCATGCGGTTCAGGCACTCCGACTCCAGGCCGCACGGGTTCTCATCGGCTGGCTTGCAGTTGCAGCGGGGAATCTCAGACAGGTCTGCAACATGGATCTGTACCTTTCCTATCACTTTGTTAGCCTAGAAGACGAAGCCACAAAGAAGAGGAAGAATTTAAACAGGAACATCAGACACAGCCAGGCGATTTCTCGTTCGGGCTACTGCCTTGTGGCATGACTCTGAGAAAGGCTCTTTCTTTTTTTTTTTTTAAAGATTTGATTTATTTATTTGAGAGAGAATGAGAGAGAGCACATGAGAGGGGGGAGGGTCAGAGGGAGAAGCAGACTCCCTGCCGAGCAGGGAGCAGGGAGCCCGATGCGGGACTCCATCCAGGGACTCCAGGATCATGACCTGAGCCGAAGGCAGTCGCTTAACCAACTGAGCCACCCAGGTGCCCGAGAAAGGCTCTTTCTATCTTGACCTCAGTTTCCCCGTGTAGAAGCTAAGAACAAGATGGCCCCTACCGAGTGGACAGAAATATCAAAGTCTGATGTAAATTCTCCCTTATTTATCTTGTGTATTTCTTCTTCTTCTCGCTGATGGAAACTTCCTAACTGAAGACAACTGTGGGCTTTCTGGAAGAAGAGGAGCTGAACACCTACATTCTCATTTGGTTGCAGGAGAACCTGGTCGGGCGAGAACAGGATTCCACATGGAACATGGTGCTCCTGGCTATGAGAGGGCTGATCAACAACCTCCTCACAGCACAGCAGCTGTGGCTCCCATTTTATGCTTCCAACAAAAGCTCCCGGTCTGTTCTACCGAAGACTGGGTGATAACTGACAAAGGTTTTCGTAAGTCAGAAAGTGCCTTCTAATGACGAAGACAGTGATGCATTTCCTCTTGCCTGTCAGATATGAGTGTTTTCATGGACAGAGACTCACTTTGATGTGTTTGTAAGGAGGAGGTTTTCTTGAGTTTTTTTCAATCTCTAGTGCTTCTCTGCTTTCTCTTTGTGCTTTCAATTCCTGGAAACGTTTTGCAGCTTCTTCCAGTGCTGCCAATAAGACCAAACAAAGTATATAAATACCAAAAAACAAACAAAAACTGTTAGGAGAGCAGTTTTACATTGCCTTCCCAATGCCCTGGATCTGGCCCAAGGCTTTCTTCTTAAAATTATTCCGGAAATGACCATTTTCCACCAACATAGTGTAACACTGAGAGAAGATATAACTCACGTACAGCTAAAGCTGCTCTGTGCAAGGTGCGGCCTCACAGAGGTCCTACTTCAATAATCAGACGCTTCCAAGTAAAGCAAAAAAAATAACCAACCAACCAAAAAAATCCCCAGTTTTTTACGTTGTACCAGATTTAAATTCATTTTACTCTTACCCAGAAAGCCAAACTTCCTGGAAACTTGTTGCAAAAACAGTTGTAAGGCTCTTTGTGAGAAGCTTTTACTACTCTTCTGTGACAAAGAAGCTTCACTTGATTAAGAAGACTATTTCCAAAATAATCTCTATGTTTGTAGAAAAATTGCTGAAGAAACTCCTTTCACACAGATGGCAGAGTCTACTATACTGAAATGTATTTTTCTAACTGACTGGATAAGATGTGGCTCTAACGTGACTGGATGCTTACAGGCACTGGATCATAACACCTGGTGAAAAGTTCTCTAACACCACAAACATGTCCTATGCAAGTCAGGACATGCTGAGAAATCAACCGTGGAGTCTTAGTTTTGAGCCCCTGTAAACATCATCCAACTTACCTTTTTTGAAGGTCTTGTTAATACTAGTCTGTCCCTCAGCAAAGCTTTTGTCTCCTTCAACGTAAGGGAACACTCTGCCCTGGTGTACCCAATAGTAGTCATGAGAACCAAAGAAGAACACAGGGAAGTCCCCCAAGTCATGCTTAAGGCCCTGGATGTTCAGTGGCACAGACCTGGGATTGCAGATTTCTGCTGGCCACCATCTGAAAACAAAAGCAATTGCAGATCAAGAGAATGAACAAATCATACCATTCTGATACATGGCTGGGCGGGGGTGAGGTTTTGTACGCTGCAATTTTCATTCAGATTCTAAGGACAAAAAATACCTTATCTTTAATCCTGCTAAACCACACAACATTTAAAAATATATTGATTTGTGAATTAATGAAATAGTGAACATAGACTAAACAAACTATACCCTAAACACCCAATCTAGTTTTTTCTTTAAAAATTAATACTTGATATGGGGCTCCTGGGTGGCTCAGACGGTTAAGCGTCTGCCTTTGCTTCAGGTCGTGATCCCAGGATCCTGGGATTGAACCCCATGTCGGGCTCCCTGCTCAGAGGGAAGCCTGCTTCTCCCTCTCCCTCTGCTACTCCCCTTGCTCCTGCTCTATCTCAAATAAATAAATAAAATCTTAAAAAAAATAAAAATTAATACTTGACATAAAGAAATACATATCATGAACATACAAATTATAAAACATAAGAACTTGCTACCCAATTTAAGAATTCTAATTCTTAAATTCTATACCAATACTATTCCAAACCCAACTTCAATCCTAAAAAAGTCATGTGTTCCTCCAAATTTGACTTTTTAAAAAAGATTTTATGTATTTATTTGACAGAGAGAGACAGAGCGAGAGAAGGAACACAAGCAGGGGGAGTGGAAGAGGGAGAAGCAGGCTTCCCGCGGAGCAGGGAACCCGATGTGGGGCTCGATCCCAGGACCCCAGGATCATGACCTGAGCTGAATGCAGACGATTAACCGACTGAGACACCTAGGTGCCCCTAAGAATTAACTTAAAATGTAGGCAAGAGGGGCTCAGTTGGGTGGCTCAGTCAGTTAAGCATCCGACTCTTGATTTTGGCTCAGGTCATGATCTCAGGGTCATGAGATCGAGCCCTGAGTCAGGCTCTGCACTCCGCCCCTGCTTCCCCCACCTTCAGCTCATGTGCTCTCTCTCTCTCTCTTAAAAAAAAAAAAAAGGCAAGAGTCTGTGCTCAAATTGTTAAAACACTATTTTGTGTAATAAATATTTTAGGAAATGGTTATTTCTTTTTTTTCTTTTTTAAGATTTTATTTAGGGATGACTGGGTGGCTCAGTCGGTTAAGCGTCTGCCTTCAGCTGAGGTCATGATCCCAGGGTCCTGGGATCAAGTCCCGCATGGGGCTCCTTGCTCAGCGGGGAGCCTGCTTCTCCCTCTGCCTCTGCCTGTCACATCCCTGCTTGTGCTCTCTCTCTCTGTCAAATAAATAGAATCTTTAAAAAAAAAAAGATTTTATTTATTTGACAGAGAGAGAGAAAGAGAGCGTGCACAAGCAGGGGCAGAAGCAGGCAAAGGGAGAGGGAGAAGCGGGCTCCCTGCTCCGATGTGGGGCTCGATCCCAGGACCCTAGGATCATGACCTGAGCCGAAGGCAGATGCTTAACCGACTGAGCCACCCAGGTGCCCCGGGAAATGGTTATTTCTAACTCATTTCAAGGTATTAAGTGTATACACAGTAACTATATTCACTGGGTCGGTTAGGAAGGGGACACTTTCTGCCAGGGGTTGTTCCGGGTCCTCCTCACTTCCCCCAGGAGGCTTCTCATTGGGGTAACCAGTTATTGAAAAGAAACAGCTTCATGTGACCCAGCTGGGCCTGACTGGAAAAAAACACATTAAGAATGAGTCTCTGCAAAACATGTGAAAAGAACCTGACCTGCATATAAAATCTCACTGAGCTGTGAACCTCAAGGCTTTGGGCTTTTTAAAAATGTAATGTGATTAAAAATTTTTTTTGAGTTTTTAATTTTTTTTTTATTCATTTGAGAGAGATACAGAGACAGAGAGCACAAGCAGGGGAGAAGCAGAGGGAGAGGGAGAAGCAGACTCCCTGCTGAGCTGGGAGCCCGAAGCGGGGCTCGATCCCAGGACCCTGGGATCATGACCTGAGCCGAAGGCAGACACTTAACCATCTGAGCCACCCAGGCACCCCGTAATTAAAATTTAAGTATGAAAGTTAAAGATACTTTCTATTCATAACTTTTCACAAAGGAAATACGTAACGGACAGCATGGTGACCACAGTTCATAAGACTGGATTGTATACATGAAAGTTGCTAAGTGAGAAGATCCTAAAAGTTCTTACCATGTCTCGTCAGAGGCTGTTGCCGTGGAGGCATCATTTCAAAGGCATGTCAAAGCTACTAGAGCCACCTGTTTTTTTGTGTTCTGTTTTATTTTACTTTTACTTTTTATTGAGGTAAAATTCACTATTTTAAGTTGTATATACTACAGTTTTTAGTACCTTTGCAATGCTGTGCAACCATAGCAGTCACTCCCTACTCCCACCTACCCTCGGCCCCTAGCAACCAACCACTGATCTGCTTTCTGTCCCTACTGATTTGCCTAATTTGGTCATTTCATATAAACGGAACTGTGCAACAACAACAACGAAAACAAGTTCTTATCACAAGAAAAAAAGATTCTGTAACTATGTGTGCTGCTTAACTAGACTTGTTGTGGTGGTCATTTCATAACATATACAAATACTGAATCAACCTGAAACTAATATAATGTTATGTCAGTTATAACTCAAAAAAACCCCCCAAAAACCCAAGAAAGAAATTTTAAAAAGTAGACATTCTGAAATTTATGTGAAGATCTGAAGGCTTCTTACACTGTTTTAGATATTTCTTATCCAGGAATGTCTTATCAATTGTCAAACTTGCACCCCTTCCCACCCTGGAAAGATATATTTTTAATTACAAAAAGCAGTGCTTCTTTTAAAAATTAAAACAATGCAGAAATGTATAATAGAAAAATTGAAAATGCCTCCCCTTTAATCTTATGTCTCATACTATAACATTAGATGTATTTCTTTCTGGAGTAATGAAAAACAAACCTACAATTTTTTAAACTGTATAAACACATGGAAAGATAATGTATACGCTGTTTAACATTCTTTCTTTTTTTAAAGATTTTATTTATTTGTCAGAGAGAGAGAGCGCACAAGCAAGGGAGAGGCAAGCAGAGGGAGAAGCAGGCTCCTTGCCTGGCAAGGAGCCTGACGCGGGGGCTCAATCCTAGGACCCTGGGATCATGACCTGAGCCCAAGGCAGGTGCTTAACCGACTGAGCCACCCAGGCCCCCCTAGGCTCAGCATTTTTTACATGTTTCTTTTTTTTTTTTTTAAAGATTTTATTTATTTATTTATTTGACAGAGAGAGACACAGCGAGAGAGGGAACGCAAGCAGGGGGAGTGGGAGAGGGAGAAGCAGGCTTCCCGCGGAGCAGGGAGCCCGATGCGGGGCTCGATCCCAGGACCCTGGGATCATGACCTGAGCCGAAGGCAGACGCTTAACGACTGAGCCACCCAGGCGCCCCTTACATGTTTAATTTCTATTTGCTATTCTTTGGCAAACTGGCTCTTTCTCTTCTTTGTCCCTGTTCTAGGTAAGGTATTTGTCTTTGCTTATTAAAGTAGAAGTGCAAATACTTTACCGTGGCTTAACATTTGACTTTTAAAACTTTGTGTCTTTTGCCAGAAGTAAAAAATTGCTTATGTATTTAACTGCCAATTTTTTTTGGGGGGGGTGCTTTGAGGTTTTCTGTCATACGTTAAAAAAAAATAGTGTATGTGGGGGATCGCTTCTCAACCTCAAGGCCCCTCATCTTAGCTAAAAACAAAATTTTTAAAGTTAAATAGGTAAGCAAGCAGCATATTCAAAACATAGAGAAAATGCCATAGCCATTACTAAAAAATTACAGTATCTTTGAAATTCTATAGAAATATATTTTACTTAGTATTCTAATTGAATAGCAGACTCTTATTGTGCCCTCTTGAATAGTATCTATTTTCTTAGTAAAATGATAAACATATGACTCAAAACGTAAAATGTAGAGTTTTTAAAATATATCGCTATTCCGCTCAGTGGAGGCTTGGTAAGGACAGGCTTCTTAAAAGGAGAAAGTTTTTTGAAAATAATGGCAATCACACATACTTCTTACACTTCATTCTCTTAAGAACTAAAAGCTCTTAATGAAATAATTGCTCTCTTTAAATTCTAAAGAGCTCTCTCTTTGCACTCAGTTTAAAGCTTAGCAGGAACTAAAATGGGCAAAGACAGCTATTTTGAACAGGATATAAAGTCTTGATTTTATTAGAAATCAATATGAATGTATTTGGACACAAAGAAAACATCTTCCCTACTATCTACATTAGACCTTTTATTCCATAATCTAGTAGTACATAGTTCATTAGTATAAAATAACTTTCAGAACATAAAAACAAGCCAACCATCCAATCAAAAAAAAAAAAAAAAAGTCCAACAACAACTAACCTTCCCAATCCTCTAAAAACCAATTCAAAAGGTTTCTCTTCTCTTTCTTTTTTTAAGGAAGTAGCTCTGTGGTATTCTACCTATCTCCTCACCAGTTTGTATACAGATTATGAACACCTGTGTCTGAACAATGATTGAATACTTCCTCTTTGTCCTTGGAAAAACTTGCCTGTAATTTCCCAATTTGACCCAAACAATCTGCTTGTAATGTAGTTTCTTGCCAGCTTTACAGTCATTACAATTCCAGCAGCCTTCTGGCATTTCTATGCTCAGGCATTCCGGGTGGAAGGAAGCTGGGCACGATTCACAGCAGAGCAATCTTCCACCTTGAAACAAATAAATAGTCTTAATAACTGAGAAAAGAGGAAAGAGAAAAAGAAAGAGAAAAGAGAAAGTTATCTTTTAAGTGCATTAACTCTGAGTCAAACTGGGGGAAAATAAAGGGACTGAGTCAGGTCTATAGTGATGGATTAAAATAGAAAGCAAATGAACACATTTAGCTATTTCAGTCCCTTTCCAGGGCCACATGGCCAGACACTCAAAGCTTTGGAGGAGTATGAAAACCATTACTGTGGTCTTTACCCCTTGAAAAGGTGGGCAATTGAGGTATGAGTTTAGCAGGAGCTATAACTCTTAACAGATGACACAACAGATGCATAAAATCTTTAGACTGAGTAGATTTGAGAGCAGATTTTCAAAGAAATATGTAGCAACTTTCTTTTCTCCTTGAGAGCTAAGAAAGCAAGCAATGGTCATCTTTGTATTTTAATCCAGTGCCACAGTTAACTGAATCCCTTTATAATAAAATTAGCAAGAAAGAAGATAGCCAATAGGTTGACTGGTACTTTTTTCTTTCCATAAAAGAATGCGAAAAAGCAAAGGATTGTACTTTCTCAAATTGGTGATTACATTATCATTTCCCTTTCCAGTAAAAATAAAGAAAGTCAAATAGGCTATACAGCAGTGGTTTGCAACTTTTTCATCACCAAGGATCCCCTTTCCCTTCCTCAGGGACCCATGTTTTTTAATATTTTATCAACCAAAAACAAAACAAAACAAAAACCCCCAAACCCAAAAAAACCAAAAAACCCTAAGCCAAAAAAAAAAAAAAACAAAACCCAAAAAACAAAGCCCCTGTTAAAGGTAACAATTTCTCCTGTTTTTATTAACCAAAGAAATATATAACTGCCAATCAGAGCTTCTGATCCCAATAATAAAACTAGTCTTATCACATTAAGTTGTTCAAATCATAGCTAAATATAAAGAAACGTATGCAGCCTTATTTTGTGCAAATGTATGATTCTGTTAGATTTTCTGAAATATTAAACATAGTTCAAAATTTTTACATAAGTTTTTCTGACTTCATATTGAGAACCACTGCTTTATAGCATAAAACTAAGTAAATGTCACTGTAAAATGAAGTACCATACACAAGGAGATCCCCCTCCAAGTTCCCTAGCAAAATCCTCTCCTTTGAAATGATCTCTGGATTAAGACCAAAACAAGTGCAGCAAACAAAACAAAAGAATATTTTTAAATGTAAAGAAATAGAAGAGATTTGGGGGGAGGTTACCTATTTCTAATAGGTGTTTCAACAAGTGACAGAAGGATGTTAACCACTTTAGATGAAATATAATAAAGACATTTACTGCAAAAAAAAAATTAATTCTATTGGAAAATCAAGTCTATAACCCATGAATGTACTGAGACTTAAAATCTCATAAGCAAAAGGTTAAGAGCCCTCTACACAACTTTATGAAATCACAGCTCCAACCTTTTGAGGGTTTGCTATCAATTTTCCAGAAAATCTTTTCTTCCTGTAGACTTTCAAACTTCCAACTGATTAACATAAAAACAAAAAGAAAAATCTATATGCAATCAGTGATGAAATAAATTACTATATTTCCTCTGCTTAAAAGATTTTGCTTTAATCATTAAGATTTTTTTTCCTTTGCAGATCTCAATATGGATTCATTGTTCCAATTCTCCAACCTACAGATTAGCTGCCTGAGTGCTCTTAGCCTAGGTAGGGAATTCTGTAAGTTTCACGTAAAATGAGATAATTGACTTCTCCATCAGAAAGGAAGGACCAGTAGGGAGAGCAGTCTTTGCAAACAGCTTTAGAGGACATGTGATCGTTAGAGCTGATGTGGAAAAGTCAGCCTGGCCATTTTTTAACATAATGGAATAGTCCTTAATTAAAATTAAAACTTAAAAGTCTTATTTCAGAGGAAATACAGACCCAGAACCGTCAATGAAAATCATCACGATTTTTTGACAAAAAATACACAAGAAAAATAGAAAAATGAAAATATGAACAATCCACCTTGGTGCTATGCAAGAAAACTGCTTTAGGATGCAAGAAGAAGTAAGACATGGTTCAAGCTAAGCAAATAGAGGGCTCAAAATAATTTCAATTCATGTCAAGGTCAATACTGAGTACTGAAAACAAAGTAAGAAACAACTGACTTAATCTAATTTTATGAAGGCGCCAGTAGGAAATAAGGCATTTCCTAAAATGAATGTCTCGGGTAGTCTAATTTTATTGCATTATGGAGTTAGACCTCTCTGTCCATCTTTGTTTTAGAAGTAGGTGGTATCACCAGTCAGGTGACATCCTCTGACTTCAGTGGAAAACAAACAAGCAAGCAAGCAAGCAAGCAAGCCAATACTCTCTCCAACCTATTCCTTATAGGTTCTAGTCACCCTGTTTAGTTAGTGGTATTTTCTTTTAGTCATGGGTTGCCACTTCAGATGTCTGACAAAGAGCAAAGACACATCAAGCAGGCAACAAAAAGAATGAGAAAAAAAAAAACAACACCTTATTTCAAATATACCCAGTCTATTAGGTATGGATTAATTTTTCTCTAAAGATTCGGAACCTGGCCCCCAGATCATAATGGGAATGTATACAGGAAAAGGCCTTCACCTTCCAGGTTATTCATTTTACCCTCTGGGGTAATAACTCCCTAAGTAATACAGTACTGTTAAATTACCTTTTCCCTGTGTTACAAGTAGGCTATGTAAAGCTAAAAATAAGGTATGATTTTCTCCTATAGGTTAAATTAATTGGGAGAATATAAATATACATTTAGCTCTTGGTTCTCTGTGGATAAACTATCCATAAGCAATTCTTCAGTTGAGCTGGGTTGCCTTTCAATATCCAATATTTGGGTTAATCTCCCCAGCTGCCCACCAAAGCCTCCCAAGAGAAGGGCAGCTAGTTTTCATAGCATCCTAACAAAAACATTTAAGAAACAAAAAGATAGCATATACCCTAAAATCAAAATTTTAAGTATCGGTATCTTGGTTTCTCTTTTAATAACCTACCCAGGTTTTTTAGTTGAAAGTTCATAATAATTTATATCATGTCTATTCTTTTCCAGTGGTAGTTCTACATCAGGCAAAAGAGCAAGAGCCTTTAGAATATCTTTCTATATATAAAGCAAAATCCCAGCCTTTCAATTGTAATAACCCACAGATATATGGAATGTGTGAGAATTTATTCAAGGAGAAGAGTAAGTAGGTAAGAATTTGTAATAATGGAATTATTTTAAGCCCTTTTTAATAATGTTGCAGCCACATGAAGACACAGTCACAACCACCAGGCAGAATTTACCAAAAGCAACAGATGGTGCTTGACAGGCATACATTTCCCCCCTTCATTTAAAGAGGAAAAAAAAAAAAAAAAGGAAATGCAAAAATAAAAGAGAGAAACTATTTTGATTATTACCTTTCTCACATTTCTTTTTGGAAGCTGACGAAGAAGGAATCATAGGTAATTTCATCAACTCTGCACGATTTGATTCATTCAGTAGGTAGTGGGACTTATAGGCATATGAACTGAACATGGGGTCTGAATGGTCCTGAACTATCAGCCCTATACGAAACAAACAGAAAGAGATGAGCTGCAATGAAACTACCCATGATTCCATGAGGGAAAAAAAATAAACCAACATCTATTATGTAGCTGTGCTAAAAGCTGGGGGCGGGGGGGAGAATATGAAGAAAAAGGAAGATCTGACAGAAAAGCCTTGCCAGAGTTATTAAAGGGAGTTTGAGCTACTCAGTGCCTTATCCCATAAAAACTTACACACCCAGAAGAAAACTAAAAATTAATTTGGAGATGTAAACTGCATTTGACGTCATACTTAAAACCCCCTATGGAAGACAAAGCTACATTCCTTAATATTTACAAGTACTATGATGACAATCCAAAGAACAAAATGACATATCACTTAATAGCAAATAAGAGTTATTTACATAACATGGTAGAGACACTGATCCACCTTCAACGTATCAAGGAGTACTGAAAGGCAGAATTGAGTCTCTCCTCTAGTCGTATCTTGAGATGTACTCAAATAAATTCTAGCTTTTTCTGCCAGATAATGAAGCTATTCTCTATCAATATGACACATGATTTTAAAGGAGCCATAATTTGTTGAACTTCACTAAGGTAATGCAAACTGTTTACATTTCTTCCCTGCCATGATATAAACTAAAGACAGTTCTTCTGACCTACCAATCCAGCTATCCTATTGGAGGGAAACAGAAGATCTCCTTTAACCCACTTGTGATGCCCACTTCTCCGCTCCCTCCCATCCCCTTCCCCCCTTTGTTGAGTTCACTACAGGCCATTCCTAAACCTAGGGCAGTGTGAGACCAGGGAACATTTCTCTGTTTGGTGACTGGACAGTTCACAATGATCTGGACTTTAAAATACGGATCATGACAGCAGTTTTATAGAGATCATTTTGAGAAGAGGGAAGAGTTTTGTTTTTAAAGGGGTTACCATTACTTTTTGCCGTGGGTGTTATCTTCATTTGGTGCTACCCTACACTGAGAAAGATTTAAGAAACATCTCCGACCTGGAGGACAGAATGGGACTTAAAATTGCTAATTGGTAACAGCATAAAAGTCTTCTAAAAAAAGTTATACAATGTCAAATGAATTTCATACATTTAACAGAGAGAAGCAGTGTAGTGTAAAAAACAGTGGGTTTGAAATGAGAAAGATCGGATGCAAATGCTAGTCCCTCTATTTAAACTTCTGCAGCCTTCAAGTAAATGATGTAATCTGTGCTTCGGCGTTCTCATCCATATAACATGGGGCAATAACTCCTTAAGGCAACTGTGACAATTCACTCAGATAGCATATCCAGTAGAGTTTGATTTACAGATACAAAAAAATTGCTATTATTAAAATGAAAAGAAAGCCCTACCTTCTCCATTATAAATTACCATTACAAAGAGAGGGAGAGAATGTTAAGTAACTTGATTTTACAAACACGCCCCACCACCACCACTTGCCTGGATGGAAGGAAAGCCTAAAGGATGTGTGTATACTACACTGAAATATGATGGGACACTTTCTATGGCACCATGAGGGTCAGGGGTGGAGCAGTGTTCCTCTAAACCTTAAAACATTTCTAAAAACATTTCTAGATAATCATTCAGTCCTTAAGAATTAGCTGAATGATTTTAAACAATCAATAACCATGAACTAAGAGAAAAATCCTTTGTGAGGAGGGAAAGACTCCGTATAAGGCAAGAAACAAAAGCAAAACAAACTAAGTTTTCTAATACCAAAACATACACAATTAAAGCCTCCTTTTTTATGTGTGGATTTATTACAATTATGTCTTTTTTTTTTTTTTAAAAAAGGAGACCTCTGTAAAAACTGATGAGAGAACATATATTATTTACTTGTGAAAACTGTTGACTTAAGCCTTCTCAAATCCCAACATCTGATCTATTTAGGATAAATTTCTATATTTTGGAAAGGAAAATGACAGTTTCTATTTACTGTACAAAGTTTCATAGTTAAAATATTTGAGAGTTAAATAATCTTGATTACACAGGCATTTAAATACAGTATATCTTTCAGATATCTATCAAATTGTTAAGATGCAAATACAGGTCCTGTAAAACGTGAGTTTTCCCCTCATTTGCATTACTTCAAGCTTTTAATCAAAGCATCTAAGTTAAACTTTAAATGGTTAGTCTCTATAAAACTAGGCTCCTTGACAATGGGCCATTTTCTGCCTATCTTAAATTGAAAATACCTGTTTTAAATGTTTCCCAATTATTGAATGAAAAGAAAGGAGTGGTTAATATATTGATGGTACTTGATTCAGAATGTACCAAGTAAGCCAACATGATAGTTATGGAGTTGACATTTAAAATGTTGGCTCAGGGGCGCCTGGGTGGCTCAGTCAGTTAAGTGGCTGCCCTGGGATTGAGTCCCACATCTGGCTCCCTGCTTGGAGAGCCCGCTTCTCCCTCTGCCTCCCCACCCCTCCGCTCATGCTCTCTCTCTCACTCGCTCTCTTGCTGTTGCTCTATCTCAAATAAATAAATAAATAATCTTAAAAAAAATAAAATAAAATGTTGGCTCAGTTACACACTCTCTAGCATGCACCGTGTGTTTGTGTGTGTGTGTGTGCAAGTAATACTAAGTGCCCAGCAAGGTAGAATAAAATGTTTACAAAGCGAGAGAGACTTCATGTTATCACTGACACTCATCTGTCTCTAAAGCTAGCCATCCAATTGATAATTCACTATTTCCATACTATCATCACTTTCTCAGGCATGGGGAGACCGTAAAGACATCAGGGGTGACTTTTTATTTCTTTTGACTATTCGAATCCTTGCTGCCACCTGTTATAATGTGGCACAAAATATTTCAGACCTACTCCTCCATGTACCAGCCAGGTTTCAGAGCAGAATACAGTTGTAATTGCTCTGGTAAAGAAAGACACAATGCTTTCCCTCTAATAGCACACAGCCCCAGGTGCTTACTGCAAACTCTGGCAAACTGAAAGCTATACGCACCATGGACTCAGCTGGCTGCCAGAAGGACTGCCATTTACTTAATCTTTTACTGCCAACCTCTTCTGGCTTTTTTTTTTTTAAAACAAAAGACACCATACCAAAACAACTCAAGATCTGTCAACACTACCTAAATTCTATTTTAAAATACTTTATAGTACTTTCACCAAATTAAAATAACTATCTCCTAAAGGAAAAAACAAACAAAACCAAGTAAAACCAAAACCAAACCGAACACCTCATCTTCAGTTTAGTCTAAATATAATTTAATAGGCCTGATACACCATGGAGTCCTTTCAATTATTTCACCACTAAGGTAAGTTCAGAAAACTTAGTATTTGTATTAAAAAAAAAAACAACACAAACAAAAAAACTGCATCAGGGGATATTAATTTCTAAAATGTTTAATACTAAAAACTGTTTTCTTATAATACAGCTGAGACACTGTAAAACTGAATACTCTGTATTATATTCAACCAAGGAAATCTTATTTTCTATTTATCACGAACTCAAGTTCATTGACCCCCTCAGGGACACAATAATTGTTTTTACTTGATCAATCTCTTGGCATACTTAAATATCAACAGGTGGCAAGTAAGAAAGCTTGTATCGCCTGACTCTTAGCTAACACCACCACATATGTTGTCTTGGCTGTATCCCATCAGGCCTTCCTCAATGCCAGACCAAAACAGGATAAAATACAACATAAACAATTAAAAAATAAATGTGCTTATCTTGCCTTCCAAGTGAAATCTCAATCAGTTGAAAACTCTGGATTAAAGAATATGACATGGGAAGAGTCTACTTTGAACAGAAGAACTGTTTGCAGAAGGGAATAGATTAATCTTTTGATGCTCCATACAGGAACACTAAGAACTTATCTGTAATTCTAAGTCACTAAAAAAAATGCAGATATTAGGTTAGAGAAGAATAAATAGTCTAACAATTTGAATGTTTCATGTTATAAAAGGGACTACTGAAAGTGTTAATCTCTCGGGGATATAACTGAAACTCTAGTTTGATGGGGAAATATGCCACTGAACTCAAAGAAAGAAAAAGGACTGACACTCACCTCTTGCACAAACGAAACAAAAGCCTACATTTATGGCCGAGGAAGCCCTGGTGCTCCGTTTGGAATGATTACTACAGATGAGCATGCAGGAGGATACAAATGTGCTGCCGGCAGCAATGCAAGCCTCTCCGGAGTGATAGGCTACCGGACACCTCAAACATCGCATCATGCGACCTGTTTAAAGACAAATCAGAAAAAACAAAATCTACGGAATCAGGCCTCAGCTGGATATAAAGTGAGCTTTTTGGAGTTGGGCTCTTTTGGGTTCCATGGGATACTGTTATGGTAAGATAATATTTTTCTCCACACGTGTGGTTCTGTCATTCCTATGCAGGACCCTAAATGCAGTGCCCATTGAGAGATCCCTCAAAGAAAAACTTGTTGGCTCTGATGCCAGAGATGGTGGTCTCAATGTCACCTGCGAAAGAAATTCTCAAGGGTAATTTTGAACATACGGAATTTTCTTCTCATGATCTGAATTAGAACCTAATCTCTACTTATCGTGCTATTGTGGCTGAGCGGTTACATCTACAGATGCAGAGAGGGATAATTACCTAATACTCTTAAAAATAATGTGCTTATCATTTGCTACTGCACTTAAAAAGAAAAAAACCTTAGTCCCCTTTTTTTAACTCTGTTTTACCTTTACTTGCTTTGTAGATATCTTTCTCCATGGAACAGGCAGAGCAACAGTGCTGAGGACAGCGGAATCCTTTTGATTCAAAGATGGCAGTGGGGAATTTGCGGACACAGGCTTCGTGATAAAATTTCCCACAAGCACCAACAGAGCAACGCTTCACATCTGTACCAGACACTTTACACGAAAAACATGGGTGCTGTCCTGAAAAATTGGTTGAGGAACACAGATTAAATAAAATCTGATTAAAGCATATTCTTCTTAAATAGAAGCAGCGAATGACATCAAAGAGCTACTCCCCAAAGAGACTCTGTTATGTATAAGAATTTCACATACAAAAAAAGGCATTGAAAATAAATGGTTAAATTATAAGGTTATTTATTTAATTCATTTTTTAATTTTAATTTTAGTTCATTAACATACAATGCAATATTGGTTTCTGGAGTAGAATTCAGTGACTCATCACTTATCTACAACACCCAGTGCTCATTACAAAAAGTGTCCTTTTTAATACCCATCACCCATCTAGCCTATCCCCCACCCACCTCTCTCCATCACCCAGCAGTTTGTTCTCTACAGTTAAGAGTCACTTACAGCTTGTTTCCCTCTCTCCTTTTTTTCTTTGCCCCCTTCCCATATATTCATCTGTTTTCTTACTTAAATTCCACATATGAGTGAGATCATATGGTATTTATCTTTCTCTGACTTATTTCACTTAGCATAATACACTCTAGCTCCATCCACATCATTGCAAATGGCAAGATTTCATTCTTTTTGATGGCTGAATAATATTCCATTACACACACACACACACACACACACACACACACTACACCGCCCCCACCAACTGTTTTATCCATTTATCAGTTGATGGACATCTGGGCTCTCTCCATAGTTTGGCTATTGTTGAAAACGCTGCTACAAACATCGGGGTGCACATATCCCTTCAAATCTGTATTTTTCTATCCTTTGGGTAAATACCTAGTAGTGCAATTGCTGGTTCAAAGGGTAGTTCTGTTTTTAACTTTTTGAGGAAACACCAAACTGTTCTCCAGAGTGGCTGCACCAGTTTGCATCCTACCAAGAGGGTTACCCTTTCTCTGCAACCTTGCCGACACCTGCTGTGTCTTGTGTTGTTAATTTTAGCCATTCTGACAGGTGTGAGGTGGCATTTCATCATGGTTTTCATTTGTATTTCCCTGATGATGAGTGATGTTGAGCATCTTTTCATGTTTCTGTTAACCATCTGGATGTGTTCTTTGGAAAAGTGTCTATTCATGTCTTCTGCCCATTTATTAACTGGATTATTTGTTTTGGGTGTGAGTTGTTAGGTTCTTTATAGATTTTGGATACTAACCTTCTATCAGATATGTCATTTGCAAATATCTTCTCCCATTCTGTACGCTGCCTTTTAGTTTTGTTGATTGTTTCCTTCGCTGTGCAGAAGATTTTTATGTTGATGAAGTTCCAATAGCTCATTTTTGCTTTTGTTTCCCTTGCCTCCGGTGACATGTCCAATAAGAATTTGCTAAGGCTGTGTTCAAGGAGGTTTCTTCGAGCGTTCTCCTCTAGGATTTTGATGGTTTCCTGTCTCACGTTTAGGTCTTTCATCCATTTTGAATTTATTTTTGTGTATGGTGTATGGAAGTGGTCAAGTTTCATTCTTCTGCATGTGGCTGTCCAGTTTTCCCAACACCATTTGTTGAAAAGACTGTCTTTTTCTATTGGATACTCTTTCCTGCTTTGTTGAAGATTAGTTGACCATTAGTTGACCATTAGTTCTGGGTTCTCTATTCTGTTCCACTGATCTATGTGTCTCTTTTTGTGCCAGTACCATACTGTCCTGATGACCACAGCTTTGTAATATAGCTTGAAGTCCAGAATCGTGATGCCTCCAGTTTTGTTTTTCTTTTTCAGGATTGCTTTGGCTACCTGGGGTCTTTTGTGGTTCCGTACAAATTTTAGGATTGTTTGTTCTAGCTCTGTGAAAAATGCTGGTGGTATTTTGATAGGGACTGCATTAAATGTGTAGATTGCTTTGGGTAGTACAGAAATTTTAACAATGTTTGTTCTTCTAATCCATGAGCATGGAATGCTTAAAAGGTTATTTAATAAATTTGGCTAGAATAATTGATCATCAATTTGGAGATAAGGCACTAAAAACAATTTAGATCTTCAGTTCTCAGTCTATAATAAAATCAATCCATAGAAAACCCAGAACAGAATTTTTCAACATATGAGAGTGGGAAGGTCTTCCCAACCAAGAATACATAAAAGGTATTACCAAAGACAAAACAGATTCCATTAGTCACAATTTCCGTATGTAAAACAGACATAAAATGAAAACTCATAATCCTAGTGCAAAACACAGAAAATTACAGCTACACATCTTATTCAAATTGTAGTAAATCAAGAACAAAGAGAAAATATTAATATTATCCACAGAAAAGACAATGACCTTCAAAGAAGCAACAGTAAGACTGAGAGCTGACAGCAAAGGAAAAATGGAAGTCAGAAAACAATGGGATGTCATCTCCAAAGGGCTGAAAGGGCTGTTACTAAGTCAGCATTCTATATCCAGTGAAAGCACTCTTTTAAGAATGAAGTGAAATTAATATACATTGAGGAGGATTAAAAAACCCAAAAGTTGTTTTTTTGAAAAAGAGTTATAAAACTGATATCTCTGGCAAGAGCGACTAATAAAGGGAGAAAAGGCACCAATATTAACAATACAAGAAATGGTACATCACTACAAATCTTACAACTATTAAAAAAATAAAAGGGTATCACTACATTTTTGCCAATAAATGAAAATTTACATGGATTCTTAGAAATTCATAATTACCAACACTCACACAAAAATAAATAGAAAAAATGAATAGTTCTATAAATTCTTTAAAAAATTGAAACCATAATTATAAGCCTTCCTACAAAGAAAACTTTAAGCTCAGAAGGTTCTACAATCTGTCAAACATTTAAAGCTAGGATTAATGTCAATTAGAATAGAATAGGTAAAAAAGAAGGAACAGGGCAGATGTGGAAAAATACATACCACAAAGATGACAAAGGATTATGTTTTGTTACAAAAAGAGTTCACATATGGAGAAAATATATGCAACATATAAGCAAAGGTAACTCAACAGGATTCATACAGAACTATAATTTAATACAGAAACAGAACAGCCTAATATAAAAGTGGGCAGGAGCACCTCGCTGGCTCAGACAGTAGAGCATGTGACTCTTGATCTTGGGGTGATGAGTTCAAGCCCCACACTGAGCCAGAGGGCTTACTTAAAAATGACCGACTGAATGAATAAATAAATAAAGTGGGCAGAATATGAAGAGGCAGTTTACAGAAAGCAGAAAGACAAACAGCCAATAAACATGTGGGAAAAAACCTTCAACTTCACTAGTAATCTGATAAATGATAATTAAACCCAAGTAACATTTTAAAAATTCATCAGATAAGAAAAAAAGAGTTTGATGATACAAACTGTTGAACAGGTACTCTGATATATTGCTAGTAGGAGTTCAGGTTGGAAGGAACTACCTTAGAAGGCTACATGGCAATATCCATTAATTGTACATTCACTTTCTGTGACCTAGAAATTCTGCTTTTGCTGTCTACGTTGGGAAGACTTGTACTTGTAAAAGGATATTGAATGAAGCACTGTTCGTAACTGCAAAGAACTGAAAGCAACTCAAATGTCCTTCAATAGGAGAATAGTTAAATAAACTGTAATATATGCACACTATGGAGCACTATGTAGCAATTAAATAGAATGTATTTGTATTGACATAAAAAGAGCTCCAAGATAGTGAAAAAAGCTGCAGAACAATTAATACATTTTTGTTACAATACACAAAAAATGTCACATACATACATGTGTTTGTGTGTACACACAATCTGCTTAAACTATAATTATAATATTTTCATAAGATTGTATATATATACTATTTGTGTAATTAGAAATAAATTTAAAATATTAACAAATGCAAAGAACATCTTTACCAGCACAATACACAGATGGACAAAACATGAACAGATCATTCACTAGAGACTCAATAAAGATAGAGAAAAAAATGTTTAGTTGTAAACAAAGAACTGCAAATTATAACAACATTTTTGTTATTTGTTTTGTTATTCTTTGAAGGTAATTGCCTTTTCTGTGGGTAATTTTCTGCCTCTTTTATTAGGATAGGAATTTTCATTGTGTGTCCATCTTACATACAGAATTTTAAGTGATTATTTACTGGCTATTTGGATATCATCTTTTGGAAAGTATTCAAGTCTTTTGCCCATTTTTCTTATAATGTTATAAAAAAATCTGAAAAAAAATGGAAGTTTTTTTTTAATGGAATAGTTTTTTGTTTTGATTTTTTACAGTTAGATTTTATTTTAAATTATTTTATATTAAGTACCTGACCTCTACAAATTGGCTGAATTATAAATATTCTTTAAAATTAGTACTTAATTCTTTAAAATTAGTACTTATGATTATGATGTTCAAATGTGTATTTTTTAAACTTGCTTTGTTGTAAATAGAGTAGGGTTTTTCTGTTGTCTTATTACAAATATATAATTTCAAATTATATATTAACATGTATGTAGATATGAAAGCGATAGTACTGTTTTAAAAATAACTTTTAGAAATTTAAAAAATTAAAAGAATTTATTTTAAAGGTTAAGAGGTTTGCCTTTACAGCTTTGGCAAAATGCATAAATTGCCCTGTGTGTAAAAAATAAAAATAAAAAAAAGCCTTCTCTTGCATAATGATCAAAATAGGTCTAATATAAATGAAAATTGTTATAACCAGTGACACTGTTATACTAATAGCTGAACTATCAAACTCCTTTAAGACTTAAGTTTAGAGCCCTAGGAGATGAGTACTTCTAATATCCTCCCTTCTCAGTAGGACATGGTCTTCATTTATAATAATTAATAAGTAAACTTGATTGTATACATTTTATTCACAAGGTCAAATGAAAGTGCTTTCTTTCTAGAAATCACATTTGTCTTAAATGATAATAAGTGATAGTATAAGAACTTCTTAGGCATGTATCCTATAATACTTTCTACGTACAAAGTATCTGCCTTTGATAAACAGAAGAAAACTTTCTAAATGACCTTAAACAATGGTTTGAAATTTTTACTCGTAATCTGTTGGAAGGGTAACAGATTAGTATCAAAGTAATTTTCATGTAATAATAAATAAAAGCAATTTTTTAAAGAGTTTATTTTTTTATTTGAGAGAGAGAGAGAGTGTGTGTGTGTGTATGAGCAGGGGAAGGGGCAGAGGGGGAGGGAAAGGGAAAGAATCTCAAGCAGACTTCGCGCTGAGTGTGGAGCCCGAAATGGAGCTAAATCTCATGACCCCGAGATCATGACCTGAGCCAAAACCAAAGAGTGGGATGCTCAACCGACTGAGCCACCCAAGTGTCACCCAAGAGCCACCCAAAAGCAATTTTTTAAAAATTAAAAAATAATTGTGTTTTAAACTGTGGTTAAAAATACATAATATAAAATTTACCATTTTAACCACTTCTGAATGTACAGTTCAGAACATGAATTAAATACTCATTATTTTGCAACCATCACCACTATCTCCAGGAGTTTTTCATCATCCCATCCTGAAATTCTATACCCATTTAAATAATAACTCCCCATTCCTCTCTGGTAAAAACCAACAAAAAACAAAACAAAACAACAACAATCAAAAAACCACCTTGGTAAAAACTGCTCTACTTCCTGTCTCTATAAATTTGGCTACTCTAGGTAATTAATAAATATAAGTGGAATCAAATAATATTTGTCCTTTGTGACTACTGTATTTTGTTCACAATCATGTCCTCAAGGCTCATCCATGTTATAGCATGTATTAGAATTTCATTTTTTAAATTTCATTTTAAAAAACATTCTACTGCATGTACACAGCACATTTTATTTATCCATTCATTCATCAGTGGACACTTGGATCATTTCCACCTTTTGGCTATTGTGAATAATGGTGCAGTGAACATGGTGTACAAATATCTGTTTGAGTCTCTGCTTTCGGTTCTTTTGGGTATATACCCAGAAGTGAAATTGCTGGATCATACAGTAATTCTATGTTTAATTTTTTGAGGAACTGCCATACTATTTTCCACAGAGGTTGTATCATGTTACATTCCTGCTGACAGAACACAAAGGTTCCAATTTCTCCATATCCTGACCAACATTTTTTTTTTTTTAAATAATAGCCATTGTAGTGAGTATGGAGTGGCATCTCCTGTGATTTTAATTTGCATTTCCCTGATTACTAATGGCGCTGAACATTTTTCATGTGCTTATTGACCCATTTGTAGATCTTCTTTGGAGAAATGTCTATCCAAGTCCTTTGCCCACTTGGGTTGTTTGGTTTTTTGTTGTTGAGTTGTAGTTCCTTATACATTCTGGATATTAATCCCTTTTCAGACATGGGATTTGCTAATACTTTCTCCCATTTTGTGGTTTGTTTTTTCAGTCTGTTAATGGTGTACCAGGTTTTTAATTTTGATAAAGCCCAATTTATTTTTTCTTTTGTTGCCCGTGCCTTTGGTGTTGTATCTAGGAAATCAATGTAAAATCCAATGTCATGAAGCTTTTCCCTTCTGTTTTCTTCTAAGATTTTTATAGTTTTAGCTCTTATGTTTTGGTCTTTGATCCATTTGAATTAATTTTTGTATACTGTTGTTAGGTAAAGGTTCAACTTCATTCTTTTGCATGTGGATATCCAGTTTTCCCAGCACCATTTGTTGAAGATTGTCCTTTCCCATTGAATGGTTTTTGCACCCTTGTCAAAAAATCATTTGACCAAATGTGTGAATGTTTATTTCTGGGCTCCCTATTCTATTCCGTTGGTTATACTTCTGTCTTCATGCCAGTACCATATTGTTTTAATTACTGTAGCTTTGTAGTCAATTCTTATTTTTCATATTAAAAAAATTTATTATTATTATTTTTGCTTTGTAGCAAATTTTTAAATCAGGAAGTAAGTCTTCCAACTTCGCTCTACTTGTTTTTAAAGCAAATTTCTCTTTTAAATTTTCTAATAGATGTGTGCCAAATTAGATTATATCTAAACTTTGTTGGCAGAATTCTCCTCTGCTGGGTTCTAGAGTTAGGAGAAAAGCCCTCAGAGTATTCTAATACCATGAAACATGGTCCTTCCTATCAGTTTTTTTTTTTTTAAGATTTTATTTATTTATTTGACAGAGAGAGACACAGCAAGAGAGGAAACACAAGCAGGGGGAGTGGGAGAGGAGGAGCAGGCTTCCTGCTGAGCAGGGAGCCCGATGTGGGGCTCGGACCCAGGACCCTGGGATCATGACCTGAGCTGAAGGCAGATGCTTAACGACTGAGCCACCCAGGCGCCCCTCTATCAGTAGTTTGTATCAGAGATTGCAACTTAAGTGCTTAAGGGGCCAGGTAGATTACATAAATGCCTGGAGTGATAGGATTTTAGAAAAGGGAATGGTAGGGAATGTGGGGAACTAGGAATATGTGCCTGTTCCATGTTCACACATCGAAAACACATTTTGAAGGCCAAATAAAACAATGTGTAGATAATCTGACCTTTAGGCTGCCAGTTGGCAAACTGTTCAAAAATTTTACTGCAGAGCCTAAATGTGATAAATAAAAATACAGGGGAACATACAAGTTATATGTTCAAAACAGCTTTTATAGCTTAATTTTTACATGTGTTATGTATGTGTCTGTTTCATATGACTACGAAATACAATCTTCACCCTACTTAGTCAAGGTGGTAGAAGGCAACAGTAAAGAGTAAGGACTCTGGGGTTAAGCTACTTCCTGGATTTAAATCCCAGTTTCATTATATGTTGTCTTTTGACGTTGGGTAAAGTGTTCAACTTTCTTTCTCTGCAAATTGTTTTGATCAGTAGTAGTCTATATGAGGCAGGGGGTAAGAAAAAAATGGTGAATCCAAAACCTCCAATGTCTAAAAAACAATTTCCAGTAGCTGCACCTTTCCAATAAAAATATAATCACCATGGTTATAGTTCGTGATTGATGCTTATTCCAGTCTATTAAAGTCAAGGGACTTTTTATTTAACACAAAACTCTCAAACCCATCTAAAAAATAATTCAATCTACTTATTTTGCATAGTTGTTTCGATAAAACACAAATCCATCTCAATGATTTCATAGATTTTACAGTAAAAGCACCAGTAGGAGGAAATTTGACAATAATATTGCTAACTACTCTTTTGATCTTAGGAATCCCAATCCCTGAATGGTCTTAATTTGTTGAAATATCTACGGGAGTGGAGAATGAGAGCTACATAAAAGTGGTAAGAGAATTAGATGTCATGGGGGCTGGCATGGCACATTCCTCCCTACCTGTCTTTTCATATCTATCAAACTAAGTAAACTTACCGGTTTTACATTCCACGCAGATGAACTTTCCATCAGGGAGTGATGCCAATCCCAGGCACTCCAGGTGAAAGTGTTTGCAGCACTCTCCCTCACAAGGAATCAGAGGGTCACCAGAGCTTTCACAGATCTGTAACATGGCAAAAAGCAGTAGTTCTAAAACTTTAGCAGGCATCAGAATCACTTGGAGGGCCTTTTAAGACACAGATTACTGGATTCCTCTTCCACAGTTGCTGATTCAGCAGGCCTATGGTAGGGTCCAAGAATTTGCATTTCTAACCAGTATCCTGACAATGCTGATGCTGCTGGTCCTTGGCCCTCACTTGAAGAATCACTGAAGTTAATTTTTTATTTTTATTTTTTTAAAGTTTTAATTTTAATTCCAGTTAGTTAACACAGTGCTATATGAGTTTCAGGTGTATAATACAGTGATTCAACAATTCCATATATCACCCGGTGCTCATCATGACAAAAATAATAAAAACATAGGAAGACTCCTATATTTAATACATTAAGGAAAAGAAAAAAGAAAAAAAGAACCACTGAACTAGATAACTATTTCCAGACCCAATATGGTATAAAGTTTAACAGGCATACTTGATCTTCCATGATTCCTTCTTTGGAATGTGCAATACTTTAACTTTTCTTCACAGGGCAAAACAGTATTTTTCAAAAAGGGTAAATACACATTAAAAAAGGCAATACCAACTTAAATTTAAGAAAATGTTTTTTGAAATAAATCATCTGCCATTTACTTTTTTCGTAAGTAAGCTCTAGACCCAACATGGGTCTTGAACTCACAACCCCAAGGATCAAGAGTTGCATGCTCTACTGACTGAGCCAGGCAGGTGCCCCCCATTTACTTCTAATTAAAAACTGAGTATCACAATGAAGATGGGCACTTGCATGTGCAGAAGAGACCCAGAAAAGGCTTTAGGACCTATAGCTTTAAAGTAATATAATTTAGAAAGATACTACTCTGTCCAGCAGGAGGTTAACTGTATTATCGGTGGAATATTACAGCAATTATTTCAAGCTATCCGTCGCTTGCCTACCTGACACACAGTGTCCTTCTTACTGACTCCAACACCTCTTCTTGACAAACTTGAATCCACGGACTGCACATCAGAAACATCTACATCTGCAGTAGCGGAAGGGCTATCTACTTGCTTTCCAAAGCCTACCTACATGGAAAACATAGCACTTCTTAAGAAAAAATAAAACAAAAATTTCCTCCAAGTGAGGAGCTATGAAAATCCTAGCAAGATATGCTCAAATAAACCTTGATATCTCTTTTTTGTTTCTTTCTTTGTAAAAACCCCTGGGTACCATATACCTGATGTTTTGAGAAAAATTATCGTTAAAATTTACAATACAGAAACTATGTTTCTCTTACATAAGAGATCAGCAAAATTAAGACATTTGTAAATTACAAAATAACCAAAATGATTTGTTCCCTGAGTATTTAAAAAATTCCCCAATCTCCCCAAATAAGTCAGGCAAAGCATTTTGTTCATCTTGCAAAGCAAAAGAGAGCACTGTGCCCCGAGCCTTGAACATATTTACCTGCAGGTCACTCAGTCCTCTAGAATCGGAGTCAGATGTGTCTCTGTATGCTGAGCTAGTCATTTCTACATCAGTTGAGGCGCGACTCCTTTTCTTTAGAGGTTTACAGGAATCTGAAATCTCGCTGGCACCTTAATACAACATACTGAAATTAATCCTAAAATAGTGCTTAAGGTTTGTTGTTTTCATTTTTTTTTTGTGGGAGATTCTTTCTTTCCCCAAACTCATCTGTAGTGTGAAAAAAGCACAGCTCTCTTTGTAACACTGAAGTCACAAGTCAAAACTTCAGAAGCTTCTGACCTTCCTGATAGTGAGTGATTTAATTTACAACCGCTCTATTAAAACATTTAATTCAGTGCTCCTGCTCTAAAGCTATTTTCAGTCAACAGAGCCCAAGTTCCAAGCTAAAAACCAATTCTATCAAAACTACAGGATAGCCGATTGATTTGGAGCAATCCAAAGAACCATTCAATTTGGAGGGGGAAGACATAAAACCCAACACACTGTGTAGCTTACAAATATGGTCGCAGAGACATCTCCATCTTGTTTTTATTAGGGATGTGACAAATCTTTGATTTGTATTCGATTCGTACACGGATAGTGCCATTTTCCCCCGAATTTTGCAATTCAGTTGATTATTGCCCCCCGAATAAATTTTGGATGTTCATAATTGTTCATCTGAGACTTCCTTGGTGAAGTGGCATTTATTGTGACCATTAACAAGTGCTGCAGCACATCTACATATGTTATGCCATTTAGGAGGCACATTGCTGAGGGTTGTAACGGACAATCAATGTTCAAGTGCAGCCAAATCACGAAGAGCTGGATGAGAGGCCTCTATGTGGAATTTGTGCGGGAAGGAATAAATATGAAAAAAAAAAAAAAAAGGCAGAGAATAGTGTGGAATTTTTTTAAAACTGTGTGTAATACAAATCCAGCCAAAACAATAGTGCAAAAAGTTACAAAGCAACAATCTCTTGGGCTAATGCAGTATAGGCTATACAGAAACAGCCACGATGAAATGTGCAGATCAGGCACGGTGAATACCAGGGAACCAAGGAGACGGTTAATATTTCAACCCACAGTTTGTGTTTTGGATTTTTTTCCCCCAAAATTTCCATACAACAAACAGACATCTAGATCAGCCCAGCAAGCTATGGTGGAAGTGTGCAGTCCAGAAGAGACCATGGAGAAACAAGTCTCCTGAGGCCATGAAGATCCGCAACAGGCTGAGTGAGAGTAGCACTTGGTATATAGCCATGTTCTGTGGTGGAGGATGTGGGCCTCTTTAGACTGCTCAGATTACTGGAACCTTGTTATCACATCCCATTCTACAAGTTTTTTCACTGAATGTTTCCTTACATCTATAAATGAGGGTGCCTGCCCATGTTAACGCTGATTAAAAAACACAAGTACACAAATCTATCTCCTTCATTGCTGGTGTGTGGACCCAGAACACCACCACAAAGTATTTCCTTGGCCTAAAAGATCACTGGATTAACAAGGAGTTTTAACAGAGGAACAGGAGTGCTGTACTGAGAGGCTTTCGAAGGGAAAACACAGGTACCGCCATTTCCGATGAGTTTCTGAAAATGCTAGAAAAATGACAGACTGCCAAAGACAGCTGCCATGCTGTTCTCCATGATAACGGCACTAATATTAAAAAAAATAAGAGCTTTTAATGATTGTAATGTATACAGTTTGGGCTGTTTGGCAAAACCCTGCAGATGTGCATTAATGATGCTTTATTTAAAAACAAAAAACAAAAAAACAAAAACAGTCCATGTTGAAATTGATCAGTGTAAGTTAAACGGTGGTTTTTAGGCTGGACCCATGATTTAAGCTGTACCCATCCAGCTCAGACCGAAAAAAAAAAAGAAAAAAAAAAAAGAAAAAAAAATCATCTGAATGTTAAAGCAATCGTTCAGAGTCTTGAAGGAGAAACCAGGCAGGAAAATGCCAATAATGATGATTGGCGAAATCAAAATTGAAAACAAAGAAACTGTTTATCGAGCCGCCGACAAAGAAATCTTGCATGGAGACTCCAAGTCTGGAGTTTCTGGGATGAAATTGTACAGGAATCTCAGTCCACAGTTTCCTCAATCGCTGCGGAGACGGAGCTGTCACTGAATCTGACAGAGCCCTGCACTCCCCGGTCCGCCGACCCTGTGGAATGGTGGAAACACAACGCAATCAGGCCTCCTAATCTCGCAGCGATCGCGATGTCTTTTCTTGGAGCTCCGCCAAGCAGTGTTCCCTCCGAGAGGCTGTTCAGTTCTGCTGAGGATCTCCACGGAGACCATCGCTGCAGACTTCTCCCCGAGAATGCAGAGAGGCTGGTGTTTTTTTTTTTTTTAAATAATGCAATTTGCCCAGAGTAAACTACAGGTATTAAATACAGTTTGAATGATCTCACCAAAAACGCACGAATCATGCTATGGAGTTTGTACTGTAGTCAAATTGCACACAGAAAATACGGATATAAGTTTAAGGTTTCTTAAACTTTGTGCATATCTCAAATAGATTCGCATAAGGTCATCTAATAATGGCCATAAATATGCTACGAATCATTTTAATTAAAAAAAAAAAGATTTTACAGCACTGTCAAAATAAACGTGGCAAGATTTTTTTTCAATCAGGTTGTCTTGTCTGATTTGTCATAGTCCATGTTTGACAAACATTAATAGCTACTATTCGGTATTCAGTCGAATACCAAAAAAAATGGATTCGTCACATCCCTAGTTTATAAACCAGTGAAACCCCAGAATCTTATGGAGAAAAGTTGGAAACAGTATCAAGTCTACATAGTGTTCTCCAATTTACAAAAACAAGTAAGACTTTACACATGGAGGTACAGAATAAGATCAACTCTAAAACACACACACACACATACATACACACACACACACACACATACCAGGAAATACTTCAGTTTCACATAAATTTTTGACTGAAGAGCAACAACAGTGATTTACAGAGACAAACAAAAATACATGAAGTACAAATAAGTAATTCTTAAAAATTGGTTTTAATCAAGGAAATGCAAGGCAACATTATAGTAACTCACCTTTCTGTAATCCAGTCTTCACTGTAGCCTGAGGAACTGTTTCAACCTGTTTGGACAGAAAAATATACCATTAACAAGGAATTTTTTTTTTCACTTTTAATTAACAGAGGGAAAAAAACAATACTTCCATCAATCTAAGTAATGATGAGTGATTAATGTATCTGAAATCTGAACTCCGTCCCATCTTCTGGGTAAAGTTCTCTGTCTCAAGGTCAGGGAGGGTTTAAATCCTAGCTGCCTATGCTGAATTCCAAGTGACAACACACAGCCACATGCTCTCTAGCAAAGACTTTTCCCACCATTCCCTTGGTATATGAAGAGAACAAGAATCCTTTCCTCAGTGTCTGGGAGGCAGGAGAGGGGTTGTTTCTGCAACCAGCCCCAATGTTGCTATAAACCCCTCCCGCCCCAAAGACGTTAGGATAAATTTTTACTTACTATGATACTCAGGTTAATGTAACTCACGCCACTTTAAGACCCTTCCGCGCCTGCACTCACAGCTAAGTTGCTGGGAATCAGGACCCTCTCTGTAGAGAGTGCTACAGGGCTCCATACAGCTGGAAGCTCAATACTTTTGCTGCTAGTACAAACTTAAGAAAATAAGTTTGTGATATTGCAAAAGCACTTTCTTGAGTGTCTTATGAACAGTGTCTTGATCCTACATTAGGAGAGCGAGATCAGAAGTTATTCTGCCAATGTATATGTAAAACACGTGGTAATTTGAGGCTTGAACCATTGGAATTAAAGAAAGGATGCTGTTTGGAGGAGTTCCTGTTTTAGCTATGAATTGAATTTTATGTTTCTTTAAGATGTGGTGAGATATGCATGTTGAAACACATTTTGTAAATATTTAAGGATTGTTCTAAGCTTTTTAAAAAAAATTTTTATTTTTTTTACAACAGGTAAAAAAACATACAACAGAAGCGCTTTTATAAGATACAATTAGTAATACAAATATAAAATCTTCTAAACAATCACTGTTATTGTTCTACTACTAACTATAACACAGTGGCATTAACAATTTGTCCTGCTTTTTATACTCATTCTGCTTATTAATTTTAAACTGGTCACAGACTGAATTTGGGAACCAGCTGGAAAAATCACAACCTTGTTTTGGTAATTAATGCTATAGATTTGCAAGAGCTTAGAAAGATTTTTTGGAATATAATTTCCTAAGTATGAAAGTTAATTATGGTGAATGAGTGACAAATTAGTGTATTATTTAAATTTTAGTTAAATATTTCTGGGAAAATTGTTTTACATGCTTGGAGATACCATAGAGCACCCACAAAATCACCTTTTAAGTTTGGAAATTTAAATTATGAAGGAAATAATTTGAATAGAAAAGTCCACACTTCCATATTAAGTGGTTTTAAAAATATAAAGCTTATTGGAATACTATTCAGAATTCTTTTTTGTTTAACAGCAGCTGTCTGGGCTATAAAAAATGGATATTCTTCCACTTTAAAAAATTTGGAAAAATTCTTATTGTGAGTTTAATTTCAAGGAATAATGGTTTCTAAAAATTTCTTTGAACAGGTAATTTCATATGCGTATTACTACATTGATTACACTGGTTTAATACCCTTCAATCAAATCTCCCTCCTCTTTTTTGTTTTTACTTAAATGGTGTTTCTGATAACCCAATCACAGGTGAGTGCCAATCCACTGGGAAAATAACATTCCAAAAAATCTGTGATACCAACAGAAAAACCAGATCATCTATGATTATCTGTGTCTTAAATAGAACTCTCATAGTTAAATTAATTTGATTTGTTTAGAAAATAAAAACAATACATACCAGCAGCTTAAACAAAAAATCAAAATTTAAAAGGGCAGGGGGGACTCAATGATGGTTCCAAATAAAAATCATGAAAACATGAAATCACTTTGCTCATAACAGAAATTTCAAAATAAATGTGAGGAATTCTTTAAGAGTCTTGTACCACTGGCTTCCCATCTCCTGAAGCCTATTTTCTGTGAAAATGCTTGAAGCAGAATCACAGGGATGGTTGTATTAGAATTAGGCACTGGAACTCACCAGGACAGAAGCATAAGATAGTCCAGAAAAAGGAAACCCAGTTTGGGGAAAGTTTCTCTTTCAAGAAACCAGATAAGCCACAACATTTACAAATACAATGTTTTAACTCTCTACATGTAGGAAGCCAACCTGCTCCTTTTTGATCTTCTTCTTTGGCACAACCTCAGTGGATTTCTCTGATTCAGAACGAGTTCTAATCGATCTTCTCTGTTGCTTCTTTTCTACTGAGCCTAAAAGATGATTTAAAGGAACAAAAAAAACTCATTTAAGGATGACTTGACATTCATGTAATTAAGATTTGACCCAGTTCCCTGCTTTTCTTATCCATTACTTTGTTTTCTAATTGTAATTGTTTTGTTTTACTTTTGGTCTTTCAATTATAAATCACTAAAAATTCAATCAGTATTACATATTTTTAATTTTAACAAATGAATTAAACTAATTCTATATGTAAAATGTTTAATGGTGCTTGGTGTACCTGTATGAGTTTTTGCTACTGTTATATTATTAACAAAAACAGAGGAAAAAGGCACAAAGATGTGGCCAAAACCAAATCATTAATTTGGATGTCAAGGGACTTGTTACGCTTTAGAAATAATGAGTTATGAAAAACTTTTTGAAACAAGTTAGCAAGGTTTTTCATGTTAAATAGTAAAACAAACTAAGTAATACTTTTAAACAGTAAAATTCTTTGGAAGTAAACAGAAAAACAACTCACATGGACCCCATTTTGGACAGGATAAAACTTAGAACGAGGACCACCAATAGAAAGAACACTAAGTCAGGAATGATTCATTCTGCAATCCTGAGAAGGAACGATGCCTGCCGCACAGCTGTTCTCCATCTTCTCAGCGCTAGGACCACCTACATGGTCCTTCCTACATAATAATCACCCTTCCACACCTTGCCAAGGGAGATAGCTCTTATCAAAGCAGGCAGAAGCTACTTCAGTAAAACCTTCCACATTACCTTTATATTTTGTGGTTTCATTGTTCTTGCCTATGTATAAATGGTTTCCTTCCTTAGTTCAAAGCCAAAATAAAGAAGGATTGCACTATGTCTGTTTTGGGGAAGAAGGAGGTAGTGTGATACTAATATATTGTTCCTGAGCTTTGTTGATTTCTAGCAGAAAAGTCACAAATGAAGGTGTTGGCTCCTTCCTTCATGCTCACTCTGCTTTACACTGATGGAAATGTTCACTAAGACAACAGATATCCTACCCTCACAGGCACCTGAGTATCCCAGAAATCCAGACTTTAATATAATCATCAATTCAAGTACCTACCAGGAAAGAGGAAAATGAAAATAGAACTGCTTAAAACAAACAAAATAGTTTTACTTGTTTTGATGATGACAACATGACTTCCATTAAGTACAGACGGTATTTGATCTACTATCTTATAGGAAATAAGGCAACATGACTTCTTATAATTGTTCTGAAAGCTACCCGAAGAACACATAAAATCTACTACATTTAAAACCACTAAAAAGTACTACACTCTTGTCTTAAGAGAGAGGAGGTGAGCGTCTCTGAACTTGGAAAATAGCTTAGAAATCTAGTATAAAGGCAAATACAATTCTTCAAATCACAGAAATTAGCAGTGCCACACACTCTACGTGCCCCCTAAACTTACTAAGAAAAGGCTCAAGAATTCTAAGTAGTTAACACCAACCGAGATGATACAACTGGTTCCTGAAAGGAGATAGTCTTTTCTCTCACTTTTCAACTACTGAAGTTATTTCCACAAGAAGCAAAATGGTCATTTAAAAAGGCAAAATACGCTCGCTGGTAACCAAATTTAAACCAAGGTCAAAGCTTTAGAGCACTCATTAATTTACAACCTATATATAGCGCCTGCCTACAGAAGAAACTGAGCTTTTTCCAGATATAATTTTCCAGAATTAGAACCTTCCACTTAAAAAAAAAATTTCATGGCAAAACTTAAATATTACAGTGAAAAGACTACGTGAAAAGAAAACGTTCAGTAGCTGAGGGGAAGGAAAAAAATAAACTCTATTAAAAATAAAAGTATACTATTTAAGATCAATCTAATATGAAGAGTTTATTTTCTCCCTGAATAGGAGAATGTAGATATTTAAATAAAGATCCCCCCTAGGCTAAGTATCACACTTAAATCAGATCAATTACAACAGTTTAACGTAAAGAAAGATAACAAAATTGATGTACCTGACTGGAGAGCTGAGGCCAAAAGATTCTTTTAATCTTCAAAGAAGGGAACAAATGTTTTCAATTATGGCTAATTAATGCAAAATTGTTTAAGTCCATTTATTCATTTCTTTAACATCATAATTTCATTTTTTTATACAGTATTGTGAAATGATACAAGTTGCAAATCTGGTTCTGGACTTTGCTACTCTCTCCTTATTTTAATGCAGCTTCCCTTCCCAACTCAAATTTGGATAAAGGCATAATGTTTTGTATGCCCCATATGCCCCATCTCCCCTGCTACCACCTCTCCCTGTCTTGTAGCCCCCTTCACATTTTTTTTAAAGAAAGCTAGCCCAAGTTCTTTCCTGAACAGTGATTGCTTTTATTTTAGCTCTTATAATAATAAGAATCTTACTCAAAGTTTCCCTTACAAAAATATTTGCCCCTTCGTGCCACTCAATCACAAGTCTGCCTGAGTTACTACCGACTCAAGGCTACTACCTCAGTTCTCAAGACTTTAATCCTTCTAGAAAATTACTCGATCCCTTCTTTGATATGATTCCAACATTTTTTTAAAAGAACAAGGTGAAACAAACTCGTTTCTCCTAAACTAAAATTCCAAATGACCAAACCACTTGACAATCTAACTCTTTGCTTGATGGCTGTACGAAACAGTAATACTGTTATATAAACCAAACCCACCAGACCCTCAGTTAAACTATAAGATTCTTAGTATGGGGCGCCTGGGTGGCTCAGATGGTTAAGCGTCTGCCTTCGGCTCAGGTCGTGATCTCAGGGTCCTGGGATCGAGTCCCGCATCGGGCTCCCTGCTCCTTGGGAGCCTGCTTCTCCCTCTGCCTCTCTCTCTCTCTCTCTCTGTCTCTCATGAATAAATAAAAAAAAAAAAAAAAAAAGATTCTTAGTATGTCAGTCCCTTAACAAAAATTACTTTGACCATTCCAAAGGCACAACCTTATATAGGCATTTCTATTTTAAACAAGAATAATATAGTTTGATTTTCAATTCATGGTATCTGTTAATCAGAGAACAGATTATAATATATAAATTATAATAGGAGAGTTAGGCCCTAGTCCCCTACTTACTAACATCTAGTACACCTAAGAATAATAAAAAGAACATGGGCATCTGAAAATTAGTTTCTAGTAAGAGATGAAAGAGGAAATGGTATGAATGTGTTAATAGTGCTAGAAAAGTAAAGCTGTTATTTTCATGCAAAGAGAGATAATCAAATGGTGCATTTACTCAGATGTGTACAGATTTCATAACTATACTCTTTTTAATTACAAAGCCTTATTACTTAAACTCCTATAGGAAAAATAACTTACTATGAATAAAGCTCCCTAGCCCGTCAACCGTTCTTTCCTATTGAAGTATCTACTTTTATAACTCAATTTTTTAATGTAATTTGATTTTGATAACTGAAAGTTTCTTAGGAACACAGCTACTATATTATAGCAGAACAGAACTATGACCTCTCAAAATACATATATACCCTACTATATACTATACTCTTCATTCCTTACCCACCTGTAGGACCAGATGTTGCTTCAGGAGATGATATATTCTGAGTTGCCTTTTCATTTCTCTGGTTTGGTGTAGAAATTATAAGTCTGTCCTGTCCTCTGACACTTATTTCCGTTTTGTTACCAATTCCCTTTAAAATAAGACAAAATAAAAAACAGCTGATTACCAGGCAAATGGCGTCGTTGGCTTACAAAGACAGCTTAAGATGGTCATGATTTGCTTGAATTTTACACGGTCTTTGACTGCAGTTAATTTATCATCTTCACCATTACCAGAGCAATTTTATTAAGTCATCAGGATGTATTCTAAAATGTACGAGATTATGTGAGAAAAAAAAAACGACTCCACATGAGGCATATCACTAAAAAAATGAAACCGTATCACCTACTTTTCTGTCAAAACCAAAATGTTTTCTGGTCTGAATAGTCTCTCCCGTTACCTCATCACAGGAAAAGAACTGGAGTCATTCTCATTTGGTTAAGTACCCTACTACACTCATGTCTTAAAAGACAAGAATATCCTTAGGTACAGAAATTTGACATTCATGATGACCAAAATGTGTACCCAATAAGCAACCTGAAGCAGACAGAAGGCAGCTACAATTATAGCTCTGTCTCATTTTAGGTATTTTTAATACAATGAAATAAAGGAGTGTTTTGTAAATATTTGTATTTTTAAGATGTTCATTTTAAAAAGATCAGTTTTGGGACGCCTGGGTGGCTCAGGTAGTTAAGTGTCCAACTCTTGATTTTGGCTCAGGTCATCTCAGGGTCATGAGATTGAGACCCTACCCCCCCACTCCATGCTCAGCGGGGAGTCTGCTTGAGATTTCTCTCTCTCCCTCTGCCCCTGCCTGCCTGCCCCTCATGTGTGGGGGCACTCTCTCGCTAATAAATAAATCTTTTTCCGAAGTTTAAATAAATAAACAAAAGACAACTTTATCTCAAATTTCATTTAAATTGCACTCTTTGGAGTGGGGTGACAAAGTTTGATTTGTATATCCAAATGCAGATAAAATCTAGCTCCAAGAATGAAGCCAATTTGCATTAAAAAAAGATGCAGAGTATTCGTTTGCTATTCCAAGCTGTCAGTAGAACCAAGTGGAGCCTGTAACTTAAGCCTTTCTTTTTTAAAAGATTTTATTTATTTATTTGAGAGAGAGCACAAGAAGGGGGAGGGTCAGAGGGAGAAGCAGACTCCCTGCTGACTCCCTGCTGAGCAGGGAGCCCAATGCGGGACTCTGATCCTGGGACTCCAGGATCATGACCTGAGCCGAAGGCAGTCGCTTAACCAACTGAGCCACCCAAGCGCCCTCTAACTTAAGCCTTTCCAAGTAGTCTAGTCTTACTGAAATCAGCTGAACCTACAGTCAGAAACAAACTAATAGAGAACCCTTGTACTCCTCTCTAGTAAAATAGTATCACTTGAGCACAGGGTGTCGCATGTAAGTGTTCAATCACTAAATTCTACAGCCGAAACTAGTATTACACTGTATGTTAACTACCTGGAATTTAAATAAAAACTTGGAAAAATATATCACTGATGAGGCATACTTTAATTATTTTCATGTGCATATGACAATGTTAGGAAATAAGCAGAGTTCTTTAAAAGCACACACCCACGAGGTGCCGCTAAATTGAATTCACAAGCCCACAACTGTGGTAAGGATTTGGAGGACAGTGAAGAGGTATATGGAATAAACATTACAAATGTTATGACACAATTTTAAAGTCTAAAAGCTAAAATATAAGTGCCCTAAATGGAGGTTCAGGGCTGGCTGATGGAGATACTCAATTTGAAGAGGTATTTTCACCCCATTACCCACGCTATCACCACAGTTAATTGTTACAGAACAAACACAGTTCTGGAATTTCTCTTAAACGCATTAGCTATCCAAAGTGAACATGAGTCTAACAAAATTGCCGGTACAACCAAACAGATCAGCAGGTATAATTATTACAATGGTTAATTCAGATAACTGACAAAAATAATATAAGAAGAAGCACACTTTGCAGCTAAGAAAAACTAACTATACAAACTGGAAACAGGCAAAGTGCCGAGTTTTTTTCCAAAACTTTAGGGAGTTAAGCTCAATTTTGGCTGCACAGCTCAAGATTAATCTAGTACAGATGGGGATATTACAAAAGAGGGAAAAAAAGAAGGAAAACATAGCCTTTTTGCTTGTCTTTTTTGCCCCCTCTTAAACACAGTAAACTCACTATACATTTCAAATGCAGCGGATAAAAGGGTATTTAAATCATGACTTTGTCTTGTTTGTGGGGTTTCTTTTTAAATGCTAAGGTTGACTACTTATTAAATAATGTTCCCCCAAAACACCCATGAAAAAAGGAGGTACCTTCGTTGAATAAACAAATTGATCGATAAATTTCCCATCTCCTGTAGCGTTCTGAAGAGCAAACACTTGTTCAATCTTCACAACCGGAGACATGTTACACTTCTGCAAATCCAGGCTCCCTTTGTGCATTGTAATGGAAGCTGGTAAAGATTTCCTCGCGGCGGCCGTTTTCCAGGCTATTTTAACAGGAGGTGGTTCTTCTTCTTCCACACTTGTGTGCCGCCTCTGGCTCTGTCTCCGAATTTCAGTACTTGAGAGCGAGGAGGCCACCTCACCTGCATTGGTCTGTTCTGGCTGAGTATTCAGCACTGACCTTGGTCTTCGGGTTTTCTTAACTTCAGCTTTGGAGGCAACATTCTTTTTTGCTTGGGACAAAGCCTCCTCAGGCTGTTTATCAATATAGATAAAAGTATACTGTTCTATTCTTTCCTCTCGGGTCATTTTCAATGCCTTCTCTGCATGGGCAATGCCAATATCCCACTGAGCACGTTCTCTCTGAGGTCGGGGTTTCCGAATCTAAAAAAAGACCCAGGCATATAAAAGACACAGGCATGATCAGATACTCTTCAATCTAATTGGTACATTTAAACCAATATGTATTTCCCATGTGATCCTGTCATCTTTCCAGGTAACATAAATAAATATCTTCAGGTTCTTCAGTCAAATACATGAAATGTTCTAACTCCCTAACTTTGGTAAGTCAGTATTACTATCAGATGATATGCAGGTCTACTCTCTCTTACACATCCTTTTTCGTTGACCACTCTGCTGGACAAGTCCCTCAAAGAGGGAGCTGTTCTCACATTATGTTCATAAAAAGCTAGCAATGAGGGCAAAGGGAAGAGAGATTGCAGAACGATTACTTTCAATGGCCAATAAAACACCAACATTAAAAATGACACCCTAAAGCTCAGGGGTGCTACAGAGATCACAACAGAGCAAATGGCAGAGTTTGCATTTGTGCTGGTAGTTTGTACCATAATGCAAACAGGGGCAGAATGCAGAGAAAGGAGAGCGCCCAGAGGAACAAATGAAAGTTGACAAGATATAGGAAAGAAGGAATGTATGAGAGAAAAAATGAACCTGAACCAATTTCCACAGGTGTCCTTCACTGTTGCTCAGAAGACTTTGAGTTGGCCAGACAGATAAGAAAACTTTTGATGACCAAAGCCATCAGGAATTATCCAGGGAGTTAGACTGAGGTAGCCCAAAATTAGCTAACGAAACTATGAGAAGGGATGGTATATGTGGAACGCTGATGTATAAATCTGTAAAATGTTGTCTGATAAAATTAATCAAAATCCTCTGTGATCAAATTTAGCTTTTAAAGTGTAAAAGTATGACAAATTTCTGAATTACAAGAGACCCGCCCTAAAATTAGTTGAGTTTAAAAATGTCAACCAGATAGATTATCAGGAGCTGATGTCATAATTCTAAAATATCCACCACCACAAACATATTTCTTGGTTCTATCACTAAGTGTGACCTTGGTTGAACCAGTTACTTAAGCTGTCTGTGCCTCGATTTCTTCATCTGCAGAAATAGGAATAATGGTGTCTACGCCACTTAAGTTGTTATGGAGATTAAATGAATTAATATACACAAAATGCTTAAAATAGTGCCCGTCTCACAGTAGGTGCTCACTGAATATTTTAGAAACTTTACTTTCACAAAACGATTTTACTAGGTAAGAATAAAGGAAATTATGTAAAGATAATGAAATAGGAAAAAGAATAAAACTCCCTGGCAAAATCCACATTTCACTAGCATCTACTAGTCTTATGTACACTAATTCAATTCAAAAATAGAATCCAACACTGTACTAAGCAGAGTTCAAGTTTTTAATAGTATTCTAATGTTGTTTATATAAAATATAAAACTTACTGACATACAATAAATTATTAAAACTGGACTTAGGTTAACAACTATCTGAAATCAAGTATGAAAACTTCTATTAAATTATTAAATCCTCTAAAAACCATATTCGATTGGTAATGTTAATATGTTGTTAGATACCTTTTGTTTCTCAGAGTGATTGCTGGCTTGTTTGGTTGCTTCAGCCAATAATTCTTCATACTGTTTATGACCTTTATACTCTCGTACTCGCTTTTCATGAACCCACGCCCTCTCTGGCTGGTTGCTAAAAAACTGGACGTGATACTCCCGGGCACCTGTAAGCAAAAATTCTTATTAACCATTTCAGAACATAAGCATCCACATATACTCTGCCAAAAACATGAACCTAAGCCAGGTTCCCTAGTATCACTCCTATTAAAACTTGTACGCTTTGGATTGTCCGAAGATATAATCCAAAACTTGCCAATTACACAAGTAATAGTGTAAAAAAAAATCACTCCCAAATGATTAAAATTAGTCCAGCAAGTTTTAAGAGAAAGAAAATCAGAAATTCTGCTAATTATCAGATTTGTTACCTTGGTTACACAATTTATTTTTGCTTGTCTCAAACCCTTTTACAAACAAATCTGGGAATAAATAATTTTTTCTTCAAAAAATGTGTAACAAGGGCGCCTGGGTGGTTCAGTCAGTTAAGTGTCTACCTTTGGCTCAGGTCATGATCCCAGAGTCCTGGGATCGAGCCCCATGTTGGCTCCCTGCTCAGTGGGGCGTCTGCTTCTCCCTCTCCCTCTCCCTCTGCCTCCCCTCCCCCGCTCGTGGGTACTCGCTCTCTCTCAAATAGAATCTTTAAAATATATATATAACATATTTTCTTGGACTTTAAAAGTGCTAGTCAAATTGCTTTTCTGGCTATATAGAAGTGGGCTATATAGACTTGGGGATGGAGAGGAGGCCACTGACTCAGGGATCCTGTGAGGTCAAAACTATCTTCATAACAATACCAAGATGCTACCATCTTTTCAGTTGGTGGCATTCACACTTCATACGGCAAGAACAATGGTGGGTAAGACTGCTGGCACGTTGGCACAAATAAAGACAGTGAGTGACTCCAAACAATACTAGTATCACATTCTTCATAGCCACATACTGGCAGTTAAAACAAAACAAAAAGCCAGTTTTATTTAATGTCCTTGATGAAGTAGTAAAAATGATTAATTTCACTGAATTTCAACCTTTGGACACTGTCTTTTTAATATTCTGCATGATGAAACGGGAAGTATGCATAAAGCGCTTTTGCTTACTCAAGTGTGACAGTTATCTTGAGGAAAAGTACTTGTGTGATTGAGTTGCAAGATCACTGGCCACTTTTTCATAAAATATCATTTTTATTTGAAAGAATGACTGACAGAAAAACTGTGGTTATTTGAACTTGAGCATCTGGCAGGTATTTCCTCAAAAAAGAACAAAGCAAGTTTGCTATTTCAAGGAAATCAACTGACAGTATTTGTTGCCAATGACAAAATTTGATCTTTCAAGCAAAAATTAGAATTTTGGAAAACCTGAGTCTTCCAACTTCCCAATAATCAAAGAATTTTCTGATGAAATAACTGGTCATATAAATTAATGTGATTTTAAAAATATCTATAGAGGATGGGCCCCTGGGTGGCCAGCGATTAAGCACCCAACTCTTGATTTCAGCTCAGGTCAGGTCATGTCATGATCTCAGGAACGTGAGATCAGAGCCTTGCTTGAGATTCTCTCTCCCTCTGCCCGTCCCCCAGCTCCTGTGCACACTCTAAAGAAAAAAAAATCTATAGAAGGATGTGTCAACATTTGGAAGATATGTCTCACTTGGTAAAGCCAATATTTTTTATTTTTTAAAATTTTATTTATTTGAGAAAGAGAGAAAGAAGAGAGCGTGCCTGCAGAGGGGGTGGGGGGGAGACAAGCATGCTTAGTGCAGAGCCCCACGGGGGGGTGGGCTCAATCCCAGGACCCTGAGATCATGACCTGAGTGAAAGTCAGACACTTAACCAACTGAGCCACCCAGGCACCCCAAAACCAGTATTTTTTAAATGGCCAATATATGATGTTATAAAATCATGAAAGGTAAAAGATTCATCCAAAGTGCAAGACAGAACCAATGGATTTCAATGTAACAAAGTACAAAAAGTTTATGGATATGATTTCAGATTCCATATTGGAACTAACCCACCACTTATTGAGTTTTGGTGTAATATCAAAGAAATATATCCACAATTACCTAAAAAGGCTATTAAAATACACTATCCTTTTTCAACTACACATCTGCCTGAAGTCAGATTATCTTCATATAGTTCAACCAAAACAAAAAATCGTAACAGAATGAATGTAGAAGCAGATACAAGAATCTAGTATCTTCACTTAAGCCAGACATTAAAGAGATTTGCAATGATGTAAAATACTATTCTTTTCAGTAGTATTTTTGAGAAAATAGTTATTTTTCATAAAAATATAATGATAACATAATGGATTATTTTTAAATGAATTAGTAAATATTTTTAAATTCTCTTAGTTTTAATTTCCAAATTGAAATAAATAGTAACAGACAGAATCCATGTAAACAAAAGTGTTTTAGAGTCTTCAAATTTTAAGAGTAAAAGGGGTTCTGGGACCAAAATATCTGAGAACTGCTGTTCTACAACAGTGCTACTCTCCAAGTGTGGTTCCCATAACAAGCCAGTCTGTGACAAAATAAGCACAGAAAAGTAAGCATTTAGAAACTATGATAATTTGACATTGTCATGACATTTAGGCACATGATCAGGGATCTTGAGGAGAAGGCCTTTCCTTTTTGTAATAGTTACTTTTATTGTATTTTATGTAAGTATTGATCCATGGTGGATTGGAAATTTTTAAAAAACGAACAAAAACTGGTCTTTTACCATACATAGTTTGAAAAACACAACTCTACAGAAAATGTCTCAGGTTAACAGAGTACTGTATAACTGGTCTTGGCGAATCCAAGATAATTCAGGTAGGCAGAGAAAGGTAAGAAGCAGATCCTAACTAGAAAAATGTAGGTATAAGCTTAAATTGAACTCAGTTATCTGAAATCGATTATATCTTGGATTTGAAAATTTTTAAATTTTATTAGACATTAATGGGAGATTATCTAAGGAATTATTTTGAAACCAGATTAAAATTTCTTATGTAAAAAATAGCCTATAAGAGAGAAATACACACACAATTCGATTTCCATATAATCTAATCTGAGAGGGAAGAGGCAAGCACAAATTTGACTATAATTAATCAAAGAAGGTTTATCAAAAGTCCAAGGGTTTTTAGGGACAAAAAAAGAAATATAACCTAAACTAACAGGTGAGTCTGGAAGATATGGTAGTGGGTACAGGTGATAGGGTTAAAAGAACACAGGGCATAATCTGTTTTCAAAAGTCAGTTATTCAGAAACAGTCTTTAAATTATAGTTAAAAACATGAAAACTAAAACTCAGAGATGACACAATCTCATTTTAATCTTTATTTTCAACTTCTTCCTCTATTAAATCATTAGTACAGATGAAACAAATTAAACAATTTGCCTCTTTGTTATTATCACTTTATTTTCTCCTGGCCAAAGAACTATGAATGAAATAGAAACCTAAAGACCTGAAAAAATGAGAAGCAAGCACATCTGCGTTTGAATAATGGGCTGAATTCCAAAAGAAAAATGCAGAGGAGATTTTCTCTTTAAAGATTTATTTATTTATTTTAGAGAGAGAGAATGCATGTGCACACATACGTGGCGGGGAGGGACAGAGGGAGAGAATCTCAAGCAGACTCCCGGCTGAGTGTGGAGCCCTGCATGGGGCTTGACCCCACGACCCTGAGGATCATGACCTGAGCCAAAATCTCCAGTCACTCAAATGACTGAGCCATCCAGGTGCCCTGGAAATGTTTTTATTTAAGAAAAATAATATAAAGGTAAAACCATCCAGTTTTAAACTAAAAAAAAAAGTTAGGATTAAAAGTTACAATAGGTAAAGAAGATGTGGTACACACACACACACACATACATACACACACACACACACACCCCAAATGGAATATTACTCAGCCATCAAAAAAATGAAATCTTGCCATTTGCAACAATGTGGATGGAACTAGAAGGTATTATGCTAAGCGAAATAAGTCAATCATAGAAAGACAATTATATGATCTCACTCATATGTGGAATTTAAGAAACAAAACAGTGGAGCACAGGGGAAGGGAGGGAAAAATAAAACAAAATGAAATCAGAGAGGGAGACAAACCATAAGAGACTATTAATCATAGGAAACACACTTGAGGGCTACTGGAGGGGAGAGGGAGGGGGATGGGGTAACTGGATGATGGACATTAAGGAGGGCACAGGGTATAATGAGCACTGGGTGTTATATGCAACTGATGAATCACTAAACTCAACCTCTGAAACTAATAATACACTATGTTAATTGAATTTAAATAAATTAAAAATAAATAAAAATAAAAGTTACAATAGGTATAATATGATACCATTTAAAACTCTCAGTAGGGGCACCTGGTGGCTCAGTCCATTAAGCGTCTGCCTTCAGCTCAGGTCATGATCCCAGGGTCCTGGGATCGAACCCCGCATCAGGCTCCGTGCTCATTGAGGGGCCTGCTTCTCCCTCTGCCTGCCTGCATGCCTGTCTGCCTACTTGTGATCTCTCTGTCAAATAAATGAATAAAATCTTAAAAAAAAAAACTCTCAGTAAAAATATTTACTGTCCTATTAATTACAATATACATAGAGAAATATAATTACTCTCAAACTTTTTTTTTTTAAGAGGGAGAGAGAGCAAGTGTGAGCAGGAGGCAGAGAGGGAATCTTAAGCAGTCTCCACGCCCAGCGCAGAGCCTGACATGGGGCTCTATCTCACAACCGTGAGATCATGACTTGAGCCAAAATCAAGAGTCAGATGCTTAACCCAGTGAGCCACCCAGGTGCCCCTACTCTCAAACTTTTAACAGTAGTTACATTATCTGAAGGATGAAATTATAGGCACTTTTCACTTCTGACTATATATATATTTTGTATTGTTATATGCAGAAAAAGCATTTCATTTTTAACTTTTAAACTTAAAATGATTATTCAGCCATGAGATAAAAGGAAATCCTGCCAGAATGGACAAACCTAGTGGACACTGTGCTAAGTGAAAATAAGTCAGACAGAGAAAGACAGATACCATATGATCTTACTTGTATGTGGAACCTTTAAAAAAAAAGTCCAACTCATAGAAACAATGTAGAATGATGGTTGCCAGTTATCAGGGGCT